ACATTATTTGTAGCTATTTTGACATTAAACCTATTGTTAGGAATATATTTGTGGAATTAATATTCATTTTCCTAGCGTATCCATGCATTTCCAAAGCGTATCCGTATCTGTATCCGTATCCGAGTTATCCGTTACGATATCCGATACATATACTTTAATCATTGACTGTGAGGTATAGCCTTTTGCGGCCATTGAATTTGAGAATGCCTCCCAATGGTTTTGAGGATGAAATCAGAACTTGTAGAAACATGACTAATTTTATTTTTCAAATGAGTTAATTATCTAAAGCATCCTAAATTATCTTCAATTATTTAAAATATCTCTAAATTTTCAAACCCTACTTAAAGTATCCATTGACCTTGCTTATAAAAAAAAAAGCATCCATTGATCTTTAAAAAACATGACAGGCATTGCCCTTCCATTGTTCATTTACATGTGACATCATACTTGGGGGTGGATTCGAGTTGAGCCGAATATCTGGCTATTCGAGCTCGGCTTGGTCATAAAATATCAAGTTCAAGTTCGAGCTCAAACTTGATTTGAATTAGAGACTTGAGCTTGAATTTGGCTCGAGTCAAAAGGTTGGAAGTTCGAGCTCAGCTCGGCTTGAACTCAACTGCCTCTAATTGTAGGTCTCCCTAACAGCTAAGGTGTTGAGCCAATGTCTCCCTCAGTTGCCAAAGTGTCAAGCCGAGGTCTACCTCAGCTGATGAGGTACCGAGCTAAGGTCTCCCTATCAACTGAGGTGCCGAGTCGAGATCTCTCTTGTCGATGTGCCAAATCGARGTCTCCTTCGATAACCAAGGTAACACCCTATGTACCTATATTAGATTAGACTTGCGAGCCTCACGAACTAAGCTGTATTAAACTCGAGTTCAAATCAATTAACAAAGCCCATATATTAGACTCGAATTCGACTCGAAACTCAGTTTAGACTGAGCCGAGCCGAACTCAAACAGCTCGGCTACACTTGTTTAACTTTTTAAAAATTCAATGTTACCCTCACCACTCACCTTATCATTTATCAAAATGGTTTTATGTATAGACATGAGACATTATTTTGTCCACTTTATCACATCATTCCCTTAAACATCATCGGAAGTATGCATGCCTTGCCTAGCGGCTTAGACAGGTGTCATCGATGGAGAATAGCCTAAGAAACAATGTTAGACAAAGAAGAGACACGACACGCTACCAACCCATCACCAACTCATATAGTCATATCCCCTGGCATATATATAAGCTATATATATGTGGGAGTCCTTTGCAACTCAATTCATTTGTATTAAGCCTTCAAAAAAAATATTTGTATTAATATAAATATATGGGAGTACAAATAAAGAGAATACAAATTCTAATTTAATTTTGTTTTGGGTTTTATATTATTCTGTTTTTTTAAGTTTTATTTTACTTCATTTGTTTTTTGAAGTCAAACAAAATAAATTAAATTTTGAATAAAAATAAATCAGATTTTGTGCTCAAATCATTTGCACTATTATAGTTTTGCATAAATGCAAATAAATTTGCATACAATCAAACGCTGACGCAGTCTAAGAGAGCATCCTAAAAGAACAATTAGGTCGTTAGTATGAATTTGACCTAAACCATCTTTGTTAGGGGTGATCATGGCCTCCCTAAAAGAACACTTCAGTATGAATTTGACGTAAACTATCTTTGTTAGGTAAAGATGGCAAATTGACCTGTCCCCGTGGTGCCTTGCCCTGCCCCGCCCCAATGGGGCAGGTTTTTTTTATCACTGATTGGGGTTCGGAGAAAATCTGAAACTCTGGGTCAGGATGGAGCGGGGATAGTATTTGTTTACCTCACCCCGATTATATTATATAACATAATATATACAATTATTAATATATTAATATATATTATATTATATAATATAAAATAATTATAAGTAATTTTAAAAAATAAAATAAATTAATAAATATACAAATGAGAATGACCGAGGCAGAATGGGGTAAAATGAAGGGCGAACGTGTTCAGCTCAAAAACGCTCTCACAGCCAAGTTATTTCAATCAATTTTTGTAATCTGAGTAGATTTGGAATTGAATTTAACTTCACTTAGATCTCGCAAAATTAAAATAACTACCACAAATTGATTATGGCCCCCTCCCTCTAATCTATGTTTTTTTTTTTTTTTCAACTTAAAAGACCAAGTTTTAGAATCATAAGCCCAACTCACCTGCAACTTGAATCTCCCGAGTCCTGACCTTGGAAGAAGTCTTGAGAAAGAATTAGACATGTTTAGCAAGCAAGCTCAGATTTCCTACTCACTTTTTCTACCCGCCCTGAATTGCAGCCACACATCTCTCCAACTATTAGCAAAAGGGGGTCTCATTCACTACTTGGTGACGAGGTTCTTCATAGACATTCAAGGGACTATTTATGGCTTCTCACCGCTTCTTCTTCCTCAAGTAGCGAAATCCCAAACCCCATTTCTTTTGGTGATTTTCTTGGATAAAGTGTATTTTCAGTCAAACCAACTGAACAGTGTGATATTAATGTCATTTTTCATTTTCCATTCATGATATAAAAGGTCCCTTGAGCAACAGGGGAGGCCAAAAACATATTCTAGAAATAACTGATCCTGTGGGCTGTGTAAACTTAAAATTGAGGCAAAAAGGGTTTTGAGCATTTCGTAGAATTGATTTTAAAATATTATAATCTGAGATAAAACACTTCTAAGCCCCAAAATACAAAGCCTAAAATCAGGTTAGAAGGACAAAATCTGAACCAGGTATTTTAATTACTAGTAATTATATGATATATCAGGTTAAAAAGTTGTTTAGTTTATGTACTCTTGTGGATCCTTTATGCATAACTAATAAGTGTGTACGTGCTTTGTACTTGAAAATTTTAGATGATGATAGTGATAGTAATAATATATCAAAATTTTTTTATAAATTTTATCAATTTTTTTTTATTTTTTATTTGTTTTTTAATATTAATCAAATACAAATAAACACCTCATCTAAATATGTGATAATCGAATTGAGTTGTAAAGTTTCAAGTATCATTGGCAAGGCTAATTGCTTGGCTAGACTCTTTTTTGTAATGTTTTATCCTTTTGGTGTATCTTTTTTTTTATTCATTTATTAGAAAAATGTAAGATTTAAATAGAGAGAATTGAATGAGGTGAAAAGTAATAGTTCAATTTCCAATTTAAACCTTACAATTAAATAGAGTCTAAATTCAAAATTGAGTATTTTAGCCAAAAGAAAATTTCGCAATCTTATTCTTATTTTTAATAGTATTGTAAACATTGAATTATAGATGTGTTCATTTTTTTTCTATAACTTTTTTTGTATTTATGTGTAAAGATAATTTTGATATGTCATAGTTACTTTTTGTTTAATATGATAAATATATGATATTATACATGTGCTTGAATACTTTTATGCAAAATTTATGTATTTTTTCATTTTTATATTATTATATTTTATTGACTTTTATTATTTATTTATGACATTAAATTTAACAAATTTAACCCAAGAGTTGAACTATTTATTATTAATTTTTATATTTCATTTTTGGCCAATTCTAAATTATGTATTTCATTTTCATTACCAATAAAAACAATTCTTGCTTATTACACCTATTTTTTTTAATTTGATTAATAAAAATATCATAAATGTGTCTAATTTTTTCTACATTTTAAAATCTTCTATATTTATTTCTATTTAAAAAAAAATATTACCTAACTATGACTTCATAGGTTGATCAATTTGATTCGGATGATTGAATTGCTTAGCCACTATTTGGATAAAGAATAATTTTGTTTTTAAGTCAATTTTAAAATATACAAGTTTATCTTCTTAAAAATATTGACAGATATAATTAATAGCATTTATTAGTGAGAAATAACTTAAATATAAGATTTAATACCTTAAATATAAGACTAAATGAGAAGGGATTAAATGAGGTGAGAAGTAATAATTGAAGTTACATTTTCAACCCATGCAATTAGAGATGAGGGGATTAAATGAGGGTAATTACATAAATATGAGGGGGCTAAATACATAAATATGAGCATTTTAACAGCCATTAAATCTAACATTAAAGCTATAATAAAATGACTTTTATACTTTTCTCAAACAAAGAAATAGAGGGTAATTTTATTCAAAAAAAAAAAATTCACACTGCATCCACACTTTTATATATAGTATAGATACATGCGCAGAAAATACTTTTTGTGATGCATCTAACATGAAGGCTCAGTCGGGAAGGAGTATGAATACAAATATGTAGAGTGCAAAACCTTGTATTTTATATTATTTTGTATGTATTTGCATTGCATATATTTGTATTAGTATTCCTTCCAAACTGAGACGGAGGTTCATGCACTCCGTGCAAATTGAATTTAAAAAGACAACATTTTGGCTACCCAGTTCTAATTCAAAGATTATCAATAAATTTGAACTGTATTTGGATGCAATCTGAACACCCCATGGATTAAGCTGGATTTGAATTTTCAGTGACAGGTCCATTATTTGAGAGAGAGAGAGAGAATTTGATCCACTTAACTAATATTAGATTCGATAATGTATACCAGCACGTACAATAGGCCTTGATAAATAAAAGGGTATACTATAAAGCCTGTAGAAACCATTTTTTCGTATAGTATATGTAACTTGATCGATCAAACATGATGCACCTGATCTTGATGCGACTCAAGTTTATAATCTCTGATTTTCTACTAAAAATATCATATTTATTGAAGGGCATGCTTAYTTGCTTTTCGACGATGATAGATAATATATTATTTTTTAATGGAAACTCTTGGTGAGTACTGAGTACCCATTAGCTGGACAATTAATCCTTTGATCATGTAATTACATGTGGCTAGTGATGGGGTGTGTCCGTTCATAGGTTCCCAAGGTCTGCATATTGATTGCTATGACAAAAGCACTCATCCATCGTTGGAAATCACTTGTGCTGAGTTTTTCTTGGTTTTGCTGAGTGAGAAATTTTGAATAATTGGCAGGTAACGTATCCAAATATGATGGAGTTCTTCGAGAGTCTAGGAGTTGAAATGGAAACATCAGACATGTCATTCTCAGTGAGTCTTGACAAGGGTCATGACTATGAGTGGGGTAGTCGTAATGGGTTGGCAAGTTTGTTTGCACAGAAGACCAACGCCTTAAATCCCTACTTCTGGAAAATGCTCCGGGAAATAATCAAATTCAAGGAAGATGTTTTCAAGTAAGCACTCCTTCCATCTCCCAAGAATTTCATTATGTTAATCATAACTAACAGCTTTATAATGATTCTGGCCTGCTTCGTCCTACAATACTAGAAACAAGCATCATTATAATGTTAATGTTGTTAGAGGTATGAAAACTATGCACCGTTTAGCCTTATGAATGAATATAACAAAAACAAAGTAAATGATGTTGTATCAGCTATCCTTAGCTTATGAGGTTAAAGGGGTGTTTAATAACCAGAACACATCTCACTGGTTTTGTGGTGTTAGGAATTTTACTGCTTGTATGCATTCCTCAATGTGACAATGTGTTTTGGGTGGGGGTGGAGAAAACTCTACAACAATAAAAATAACTCTTCAGTAATAACCTTTCTAATCAGCAATGAATTTTCCATTGCTTGGTGCAATGATAAATTCTCTGGCTGATAATGATAAAAAAAAACACCAGAGGAATTCCCTTTGGAATGATAAGGTGGAAAAGAGAAAGATTCATTTAGTGAATTGGAGTTGGGTGAGTATGCCAAAGAAATTTGGAGATTTGGGGTTGAGAAGAATCAAGTAGATGAATATAGCACTGTTGGGGAAATGGCTTTAAAGGTTTGGGGTTGAGGAGTCCTTATGCAGAAGGGTTATTGCTTCTAGATATGGTGTTGTTAGGTTGGGGTGTGATACAAGAGAAGTCTCAAACACTTACTGATGTTTTGGTATTGGAAGGGATTTACGTGTTTTCAGCAAGATTTCCAAATTTTGGCTTAGTCCAAAGCTGGTGAGGTGTTGATAGATGTAGTTGGATAGAACAAGAAGAGAGAAGAGAGAAGAGAGAAGTCTATTCCCCCAGTCCTGTAGTTGGCAGTGCCTAAGTTAGTATTTATACTTAGGAAGACAACTCATAACAATTACAATGAGAAAAAGGCATTTCTGCCCCTATTAGGCTGCATGCTGCTACACATTACAACACTCCCCCTCAAGTTGGAGCATATATGTCAATCATGCCCAACTTGTCACACAGTTCATTATGTCGCAAATAGTGAAGATCCTTCGTAAGAATATCAGGTAGTTGTTCCTTGGAACTAATGTAAGGAGTACAAACTCCCCCCTTTTCAAGTTTCTCCTTTATGAAGTGCTTGTCAACTTCAATATGCTTGGTCCTATCATGAAGAACTGGATTGGATGCAATATTAATGGCCGCCTTGTTGTCACAGTAGAGAGACATTAGGCCATCAATAGAGAGGCCCAACTCTCCAATCAAATTCTTCACCCATAGTACTTCAGCAACTCCATGTGCCATGGCCCTATACTCGGCCTCAGCACTAGATCTGGCCAATACACTTTGTGTTTTGCTTCTCCAAGTGACCAAGTTTCCACCAACAAAGGTACAATATCCACTAGTTGATTTTCTATCATCAATTCCTCTAGCCCAATCTACATCTGTGTAGACTTCCACTTTCATATAACCATGTTTCTTGAAAAGTAACCCAGTTCCTAGATACTTCTTCAGATATCTGAGTACCCTCTTAGCTGCCTCTAAATGGGAGGATATTAGTGCATCCGTAAACTGACTAAGGACACTAACAACATAAGCTATATCTGGCCGAGTCATTGATAGGTAGAGAAGTCTTCCTACCAACCTCTAAAATTTCTTGACATCTGTCACTGGTTCTCCAATACAATCACCAAGCCAATGGTTTTCCTCAATAGGAGAATCTATCGGCTTTGCTCCTAACTTTCCTGTGTCCTACAAAAGATCTAGGACATACTTCCTTTGGGAAATGAAGATGCCCTTTTTCGAGCAGGCAACCCCAATACAAAAAAATAACGTAGTTGTCCCGGATCTTTCACCTCAAACTGCATAGCAAGGGATTCTTTGACCTTTTTAATCTCAGAGTCCCAATTCCCCGTAATCACAATGTCATCAACGTAGACAATTAATACCACAACATTCTTCTGGTTTCTCTTGACAAATAGAGTATGGTCAGATTGGCACTGCTTGAACCCAATTCGTTGAAGAGTCAAGTGAAATCTACTAAACCAGGCCCTTGGGGATTGTTTGAAACCATATAAAGATTTTTTTAGTTTGCAAACTTTCCCTTCACACCCTTGTGCTACAAACCTAGGAGGTTGAATCATGTAAACTTCTTCTTCCAGATCCCCATTTAAGAAAGCATTTTTGATGTCCAGTTGGTGGAGCTCCCAACCAAAGTTAACAGCCAAGGATAGTATAATCTGAATAGTGTTCATTTTAGCAACCGGGGAAAAATTCTCTGCATAATCAACCCCATACACTTGAGCATACCCTTTTGCAACTAACCTGGCTTTATATCTCTTAACCGACCCATCTTCTCTATGCTTTGCTGTGAATACCCACTGGCTACTTGCCTTTAGGAAGATTCACCAATTCCCAAGTGTTGTTTTTGTGAAGAGCACTAATTCCTTCCTTCATTGCCTCTGTCCATTTAGGTATAGATAAGGTTTCTGCAACACTTTTGGGAATCACAATCAATGGCAGTCAAAAAGGTACGAAATGCAAGAGCAATGTTTTCATAGGACAAGAACTGAGCAATAGGATGCTTAGTAGTACATGATCGAACCTTTTTCTATGAGCAATTGGGACATCAAGATCATTAGTAGGATCATCAATAGCAATAGGTTCAGTAATAACAAAGGGAACAAGGGTACCTGGATTTAAGGAGTTAGAAGGTACTGGATGTATAGTCTCAAGTTGCTCCACAACCTTTGAATTCAGCAGTCCCTTACGGTGCCTCAAGAAGACATAGAATGGAGAGGAGTCAGGAATAAAGGGAAGAGGAATTTGAGGAGCTGGAGCTTGCCCCTCCTCCTTCACACTATTCTCCCCCTGAGGAGATGCTTGAAAGAAGGGTTCAGACTCAAAGAAAGACACATCCATCGAAACAAAGTACTTATGTGTGACCGGATTGAAGCATTTGTAACCCTTCTGGGAAGAGGGATAACCCAAAAAAACACATGGAACAAATTTGGGATCCAATTTCCCCGATTGGGAGATAGATCATGAATAAAACACTTACGCCCAAATACATGTAGAGGAATGGAAAATAAAGGGGATTGAGAGAAAAGAAATTGATGTGCGGCCTTGTATTGCAGGAGGTGTGATGGCATACGATTATTAACATAAGCTGCAGCCATCATAGCATCAACCCAAAAACGTTTTGGAACATGCATGTGAAGCATCATACTATGAGCAACTTCGAGGAGATGGCGGTTCTTCCTTTCAGCAGCACCATTCTGTTGTGGTGTTTTGGGACATGAGCCTCTATGAAGAGATCCATGAGAGGAGAAAAACTCGGCTAAGTCATACACCTTTGCATTACCCAATTGGAAAATTTGGACTTCAACATGAAATTGAGTAAAAACCATGCGATGGAAATCTTGCACAATCTTGGGTACCTCTTCTCTCGAATGCATAGGATATAGCCAAGTGTATCTCGAACAGTCATCAATAAAGTTGAAAAAGTACTTGTACCACCCTCAGTAGGTATGTTTATAGGGCCCCAAACATAAATAAAAAAAAAAACATGGAAAGGCAAAGTAGATATTTTATTATTTGATGAAAAAGTTATTCTACAATGCTTACTCAACTGACACGTTTGACAATGTAAACTAGTAATAGACACTGGCTTGAACAATTCAGGAAACATAACTTTCAAAGATTCAAAGGACAAATGACCAAGGCGATTATGCCACAACCATAGTTGACTATTTGTAGACTGACTCATAAGACTCACAGAGGCGATGCCGCAAGACCAACTTTATTCTCCAAGATGTAGAAGCCATCAACCATACTTCCTTTACCAATCATCCTCCCCAAGTTTAAATCCTGGAAAACACAAGAATGAGGAAAAAAGGTTACACAACAGTTTAAGGACTGAGTAATACTACTTATAGATAGCAAATTAATAGGTAGTTTAGGAGCATGAAGGGTATGGAATAAGACAAGGTCATCAGGAAGGGATACAGATCCCTGACCAACAATGGTGAATAGAGTCCCATCATCAAGTCTCACTTTATCCCTTCCAGAGAGAAGAGAGTAGGTCTGAAAGGGATTTGACTTACTAGTCATATGGTTTGATGCCCCTAAGTCAACGACCCAAGGTGACAAAGGAACAGAGGTACACACATGAAATGCATAAACACCTTTACCTAATGTAGAAGCAAATGAGGTAGAAGGGGTAGGAACTGACCTATCCATTTGCCCGAGTGTCCTACCATATAATTCCAAATGATCTCTGAAGGAGTTGATGATGTCTTCCTTGGGATCAGAACCACTAGGATTCTCTTGAGGAAAAACAGTAGTCTGATTATTTTGCTGATAGCCTTGTATAGCCAGATTTGCAGAAGTAAATTTCTTCTGAGGAGGCTTCTTTGAAGTGTCTTGATTTTTGGTTGCCATTTGGGCTTCCCCACTAACTCCCAACTGGTTTCTCGAGTGTGTCTAGGCTTCTAGCAATGAGTACACCACAGTTTTTCCTTGTCTTCACCTTTCCTTGGTTCATGAGTTTTTTTCTGCTCTCTTCAGATTGGACTAGGGCATATACTTCCTGAACTGAAGGAAGTTCCCTACTTCCCAAAACCTGCACCCGAAGAGGCTCATAAGCCGAATTCATCCCATGCAAGAAAGCAAAAACCCGCTGTTGGGAGACAAGTTTTTTGTAGGCCTGTGCATCTTCATCATTCTTCCAGTCAATAGTCTGATAATAGTCCAATTCCTTCCAAACAGATGTAAGGACTGAATAATATGTAGATAGGCTATGGTCCCATTGCTTACAAGTAGATGATTATGCTTGAAGCTAATAAATCTTGGAAAAGTGCCTCTATTCAGAATAGGTTGCCTTGGCTTGTCCCCAAATTTCACAAGCTGTGTCAGCCCATATGAAATTTTTCTTTACATGAGGCAACATGAAGCCTAACATCCATGACATAACCATGCTGTTTTCTTGATCCCATCGATCATGTTTAGCAGTACCAGACTTTGGTTCTTTTATTTTTTCATTTATATAACCAGCCTTCCCCCTAGCTGTGATATAAAGTTTGATGCCTTTGGACCATTCCAGATAGTTCAGGCCATCAAAGGGGGTAATAGACATAGAGAAATTCATGCTGTCTATTCCCCCATTTAGGTTTCCTTGCTGGGAAGTAATACCAGAGGTTGCTGAATCCTCAGTAGCCATTTCCACAGAAAATTTACTGCTGTTTTTTTCAAAAAACCAATCTGATATAGAGGGTTTTTTTGGCTCCAAAAATAGGTTTAACAGTACTGTAGGTCAATAGCTCTTAGCTGAAACACTTTGGTTTACAAGAGGAGGAGACAATCAGTCCCTACAACCTCAAAACTGTGACATTCACAGTGGTCAAATGTTTACGTATGAACGTAACAGTACATACCTGGCTTCCATGACCCACAGCACATAGAAAACCCTCAGAAAACCAAGTTTTACTGCATTCGGCTGCCACCACAAACCTAGAAAATACCTTACTGCATTCGGTTGCCACAACAGATCTAGAGAGATCTTTTACTGCATTCAGCTGCCACCACACCCTTCTTATTGGTAAAGCGACCAAGAGAGAAGAAAGAAAAAGTCGAGGGCTGAAGGTTGCGCCCAGAAGAAGAACACAATGGAGTCTTCAATCAAAAAAAAAATTCCGGAAAAGGAAAGAGAACACGACCTGAGAAGGTTGTGCCCAGATCAGTGCTCTGATACCATGTAGTTCGATAGAACAAGAAGAGAGAAGAGAGAAGACTATTACCCCAGTCCTGTAGCTGGCAGCGCCTAAGTTAGTATTTATACTTAGGGCGACAGATCATAACAATTACAATGAGAAAAAGGCATTTCTGCCCCTACTAGGCCGCAGGCCGCTACACATTACAACAATAGCTTTCTGATCTTTGCACTAGAATTTACAAGCTAAATGAGAAGGATGCCATTATTATCCAATTTTTAAGTGAGTAATGAAAAAGTTACTTGGCATCCAAAATTAAGAAGACCATTGCTGGAAAGAGCAGTTGATGAATGATCATCTTTTCAGGAAAAGCTCGAAAAGGATGCATTATCTCATAGTAAACCAATTGCAAGATGGTTAAAGGAATATCATAATGGCATGTTCATGATAAATTCTACAATTCTCTGACTTTCAACTCTAAGTACAAGCCTCCAGTTATGGTCTTCAGTAATAGCCAGCTTGAGCTTTACCTCAGTTTAGACTGGGCCTCATCATAGAGTCCAAGTCCAGGGTTGGGAAAGAGGCCCATCCATATTTTACCAATTGGATAAAATGTGAATATATTGTGCAGTGTATGAATTGGTCTTTTTGCAGGTGATTCAATAATGAGTGCAACCTTCTGTGTCTCTGTTCCTATGATCATTCTACATGTCACCCATACATTACATTTCATCACCATTGACTACAAAACCTGACTATTTGCTGCAAGTTGAAAAGGAGTTCTGTGGAGGATGAGAAGAGAATAGATCTCTAACAACTAACAAGATTGATTGCTTACTAGAAATAGAAGAAAGCTTGGTTTTGTCAGTGATGCCAAGCCTTCAGATTAAGAAGAACAAAAAGTAAGAAGTAATTTAGTCATTCAATCTTCAAACATATTTCTCTTGAGCTGCATGGGAGTGTTTTCCAATGTAAACCGATTTTTTAGGTGTAATTCCTATAAAACCAGGCTCACTGAGTGATTTTGAGTATAAAGAGCTATTTTGATTTCAGTAATTTTCAGTAATAAAAAATTTTCATCAGTTGTTCCTCAATCCTCAGTGAGGAATGATTGTCATTTCCTCAAGTGAGTTCTACACATTACATCAGCTAAGGGTTAACAAAAGAGAGTTATAGTGGGATCCACAGAGAGTGAAACCTATTTCTAAAACATCAAAAATGTTAATTTCAAAATTGTCTAGTATTCTGTTTCAGGAACCAGGATGATTTCATATCATTTCCAGAAATCATATGTTGGAGAATGGATTCTCAGAATGAATTGTTCATGTTGGTAGACACCACCTTGGCATGTTCCAACTGAGCTAATCACAAGGGGAAAATATTTTAAGTCATATGGTAGAGCTAAAATGCTAAAATTAGGTAGTTTATTTTGACTGGGATTGAAATGGGGATAGTATCTTATATTACTTTACAAAGTTTGTAATTGCAATAATTTGTCCATCTAATTGGATTTGTGATCCTCTTTATCTTTCTGTTTACTTATACTTATTTCCCCTTCCCAGTATGGTAGAAGATGTTTATGTTATCATACTTTCTTTGATTTATTCTGACATAACTAGTTCTTGAATTATTATTACATTTTTTGCTACTTTGTGCAGATACCTAGAAGAGCTTGAGAACAACCCTGACCTTGACCGCAATGAAACCTTGGGGCATTTCATTGAGTCACATGGTTATTCGGAATTGTTTGAGAAAGCTTATCTTGTAAGAACTGAAATAACTGCACTTTGCCATATCTATTAGCCTCTCTCCATTGGATTATCAAAAATTTATATTTGATAATAAAATTGTGTAGGCTCCAATGTGTGCTTCAATCTGGTCTTGCTCCTCAGAAGGAGCTATGGGCTTTTCAGCTTTCTCAGTTCTTTCATTTTGCCGCAATCATCATCTTCTTCAGGTATACTTAGATTTTTCCCTGTTTTCTTATTCTTCAATTAATTTTGCACCAAATAAACATTAAGAATAAATAAATAATTTCCTTGATGTTCAGATTTTTTCCATGACACTGCAGTACCTTTTTCCCCTATGGTGTTTGAGGTATATGTGTGACTAAATATACTAAGGTTTATATTGCAGCTCTTTGGCCGTCCACAGTGGCTTACTGTAAAATGGCGTTCACATGCTTATGTCAACAAGGTTTTTTATTGTTTTGTCTTTATCCTTTTTTTTTATTTAGCCCATTAGCTTATGCATATTTTAGTGTTTATTTCAACAATCAAAACAAACATTTCAGTATCAGCTAGAGCATGTATTTAATCTATTTTGGAATAAAAACAAAAACTACAGGTTCAAGAAGAGCTCGAAAAAAGAAATTGTGAAATAAAAACAGGATATGCTGTGCAGTCCGTCTCGACATTTGATGGGGGTAAGCAGTTTGATGTCTGAACATTTTTTGTTAGTAACTAAGGAACATACCTTTCATGGAATCATGTTTTACTAGGCTGATGTTTATCCTAGTGATATTATTCTCAAAGATCTACATGCAACACAGTGACCTGTACAATACACTCTATTTTTTGAAGCTATAGAATCAATCAATTCCCTTATTCCCTTTATCAAGGGAATCCTTTTGCATTGTAGTCTCTATATATGCATTTTCCAATCCTACTATGGCCAATCATCATCCAACTATATGGGACCGGCTACATATCCACTGTTAAATTATCAGTGCTTAAATCATTTCTTACTTCTACCCATGTCCTTTTTGGTCTACCCCTATCTCTTATAACCCCTTCCACTTGTAACAAATAACTTCTTCTAACTGGAGCTGTTGACAATATAACTTTGAATTCAAATTTTTACATGGTATCAGAAGTTCAGTCTGATCCTTCTCTTCATTCTTGTTCTGTTAATTTCTATTTATCATGTCTTCCATCTTTTCAACTGTGCCATTGAACTGTAGATCCACTTCCTGCAGTTCAGTTGCTGAGTTCAGCCCGAATTTCCTTCACCACTCAGATAATCTGAGTTCTGACATTGTTTCTCAACTCTTTAATAGAGACAACTATTCTACTTAGTTCAGGTTTATGCTTATGTCTCTAACTGCAAAGAACAATCTTGGCTTTATAAATAACTCTATTCCAAAACACTTGTTCTTTGATCTTTCTTTGTATATACTATGGACGAAGTGCAATGACTTGGTTCTTTCTTGTCTTTTAAACTCTCTTCCCACTAAGATTGCCAACAAAATCATCTATTCAGATACTGCAGCTGAAGTTTGATCTCAAAAATTGATTCTCCCAACAGAATGCATCTTGTATCTTCCAGATTAAGAGATCAATAGGTTCTCTCATCAAGAGAATATCTCTATTGCAGTACTTTACAAAGCTGAAGGTCCTGTAGGATGAAGTCTCCTCATACACCTTATCTCCAGAATGTACATGTGATGCTCTCAAATACACTGTTGATTTTAAACAAGAGGAATGTGTAGTGCAATTTCTCATGGGCCTTCATGATTTTTACTCTATATCCAGATTTTATTGATGGATCCTCTGCCTTCTGTCAACAGAGCTTATCCTTTGATTCTACAAGTGGAGAAGCAGAATTAGATCAACCTTAGACCTACAATAATTGAATCCTTTGAATTTTTTGTCTCTAGCAATCAACACAATTTTGATTATTATGACTACAGTGAATACCATTTTGAATTCAGATATTTACAATTGTTGACTTCAAAGGAGTCGCATCCCTTACTCCTAACAAGATTTTAAAGAGTGTTTCTTAGGCTGAGTTTGGAAGGAGTACAAATGCAAATATGTAGAGTGCAAAACCTTATATTTTGTATTATTTTGTATGTATTTACGCTTTACATATTTGCATTTGTACTGCTTCCAAATTGAGCCTTAATAACTGAATTAATTGCATAAAACAAAGTTAATATTTGAACACCAGAATCTATTCCATTTCATTTGAAAATCCAGAAAGGTAGAAAGCTTAAGTTGCTTGAGGTCTAACTCGAATGTTGGACTTAGAGGATGAATTGCTATTCACAGGATTTTGTCATATCCTGAGACAAGATTGTAAGTGAAGAACTAAAAAAAATGGCATTACCTTCTGGTCCTGGCTACTTGGGATCTTGTGACAGTTGGACTATAGACCTAACTTTCCATCTTTTCATGCCCACAGTAGATGCTCTCAAAATCTAACCCATGTTCTCATGCTTGTCACCCAAAGGTTTTACCAACACAAAGCAACAGCCCCTCTTGTATAAAAACAGAGACATATCTAGGGTCAGTGCGGGATAGGATTCATGTCATGTTTAAATATGTCCTTTTTGCGTGGCCTTAGAAAAACATGAGAGTAAAACAGTGACCTATAATTTATTTTCTTGTGGAACTTTATTCACTTGTTTGACTGTATGTTAGTCAGAACATATAGAAATCAGCAAATATGCATGAGAAAGAAAAAACTTCTGGTTTTTTAAATCTTTAACCATTCTTTTTCAGGTAGAGGCCAAAGTACAAGTACAATCGTTTATCTGAGAGCATTTGATCCATACTGGTTAAATTGAGGGTCTCATCAAGGATACTTATTCTGATTGAAATTTTAGGCATTATATATCTGAAGTTTAAGTTGTTACTTTTATGTATACTATATGATAACAGAATCTTATGTATTGTAATTGTCTATTAAACCTATCACGTGTGCAGTAAAATATGGCTACCTATGTTTATTTTATATGATGCCATAAGCCCCTGAATCAGAATTTTATATTTGTAGCTAATCAAGGAAAATAATTTTGGCAGGTTGCACCGTAATTGGTGAAGATGGTTCACAAGATACATACAATGGGTGCGTAATCGCTGTCCATGCACCAGATGCATTGACTATGTTAGGAACAGAAGCAACATATGAGGAAAGGAGAGTACTTGGTGCTTTTCAGTATGCTTACAGGTACTCTATTTTCATTTTTACCTATTTTGTGTTTTAATAACATCTTCTTAATATAGATGCCATTTCATTCTATGGTATCTCAGTACCTGTACAAGGGTATAGTATAATGTCAGACACTTCAATTTTTAGTGTAAATTTTGTATCCAATACTGTATCCATTTCTGTCCTTCTGTATCTGGGTAACATAGATTTTATGACAAAATTGAGGAGGTAACTTATAGGAAGTAAAGCACATAGGTGATTGGTTTCTGTTGACATGTTTACTTTACATGTATCATCACATGAACATGAATATCTTGACTATTTTTCTGATCCTTTAAACCATTAATTATTTATAGTTAGACTTGGCTACACAGTTACATTTATGTATACAGTCTGATACTGAAAACTCCTAGAAGATGGTCAATAGCCTATCATGTGAAATGCATGATTATTGCCCTGAAAAATTATGGCATCAAAAAAATTAACAGGAAAGTTAACCCCTGATCTAGTTCCTATCTTGCCTCAGAAATTACTGATTATTAACATTTGACCTTCAGCTTCTTCTAAGGATATGTACACTGAACCTTCCTCAAGATTTATTAAGTAGATGCCATAGGTTTCATGTAGGTTTATTCTGATAGGTTGCCAGTTCATATGCCTGTTTATGTTTTGTTAACTTGATAAAATTAAGCTGCAAATGTTGCAAAAATATCTTCTGTCCGTATAGAGTTTAAATGCATACCCTCTGTAATGCTCTATTTGGCAGTGATATTTACCTTCATCGTGACAAAAAATTAATGCCCCAAAATCCAACAGCATGGAGTGCATGGAATTTTCTTGGGACCACTGACAACAAAGTATGTCTCACATATTGGCTCAATGTTCTTCAGGTTTGTAATATATTTTTATTCTAGAGTTATTTCTCATGTGATAGAACAGTTAAAAATTAATATAAATCGACAAATGATATTGTTTCTAAGGATTCTCATGCAAGCAAAAGAGAAACAAAGCATGGTTTGTAGTGAATGCCTTCTGACCTGTTTCCATGATAATTGTTGCTCTACATCAGTAATTGTTTCCTTCAACTAAATTACCCTAATTATTCCATGAAATTGATGAACTTGCAGAATATTGGTGAAACCAGTCTACCTTTCCTTGTGACTTTGAATCCACCTTATATACCTGAGCATAACATACTTAAGTGGTCTACTAGCCATCCTGTGCCATCAGTTGCTGCATCTAATGCTTCACTTGAGCTTGATGAAATCCAAGGAAAGAGAGGAATATGGTTTTGTGGAGCATACCAGGGTGAGCATTAGTTTCTTTTGTCATCACTGCTAAAAATATTAAGATGGTTAAGCTTAAAAAGAAAGGGGCATATTGATTGCATGATATGTGATAGTAGAAGATAAAAGCATCTTGTAGTTTGCTTTCTATGAGGAAAAAAGCTTCAGAATTGACTTCAATACAGCATTTCTTGGACTCTTCTAAATGGCTGAAGTGTCTGCATTGGACATGTATCAGACTGTGACACTCCATGGATTCTTAAATGAACAGATAATGTACAGAATAAACGTGACTTTTCACAAAGATGATCTGTTAGACATTTTTTCTATAGGTTAACAATGTCAAAATTCATTTCTCAAAAAAAAAAAAAAGAAAAAACTATGAACCATTTTAACAATTTATACTTTCTATAGATGCGTCTGCAAATCCTTGTTTCTTCCTCTTGCCAAGTTAGACTCCCTGACATCGGGTTCTGATTCTCAGGTTAATGCAATATTGATTCAACAGGAACACTGGGTGGAAAAGAAAAACACTTATGGTTTGATGTTTTGGGTATGACTAGTACTTTGTCTAGAAAACCATAGTAAGTTAAGTATGCTAGTTAACTGTAGGGACTTGTCTTTTAATTTCTCCTCCTTTTTACTTCAGGGGCATAAAGGGTGGGGGTGGGGGATGGGGGAAGTAGGAGAGGTGAAGTAGATGGGAATTACAGGAACCAGATAATATTTCTTTGATTCTCCTAGGAAACAGGTGAAACTGAAAAACATTCATCCCCCTAATGGCCAGGCATCATCCCTCCTGTTGTGTTTTAGCAAGAGAGAAATCAATCCTGGATTATTCGGTCATATTCTCCTATGTAACTATTGGTTGTATTTAATATAATCTTTTCACTTTTAATTTCCTAGTCTAAAACATAGTCATTTGTCCCCCATTTCTCTTTAGAATTGCTGACTGCTAATAAGAATATTTCTCTTTTTATTCTCTCTTTTTTTGGCAGGCTATGGTTTCCATGAGGATGGATTGAAGGTAATCAAGAATAATTTATATTCTTTGATATGAAAAGTTCTCAAGAACTATTTGTATTATATATACCCTGTTTCATGTTTTGTCTGATTGGTATGAAAATTTCTTTGGCAATAGATGATGTATATAATTTTTTTTGTCGTGTTGAATTTTTTTAGATCTTTACTGGATGGAAACTCATTAAATGCATAATGCACAGCTCATGAGTAACTTGATTTGATTTCAGGCTGGCATGGTTGCTGCACATACTTTTCTTGGAAAGAACTGTGCTGTTCTGAAAAACCCAGAACAGATGGTACCTTCTCTGGCAGAAACAGGAGCACGTCTTATTGTAACTAGGTTCCTTAGACACTATATATCTGCAGGATGCCTAATGTGAGTCCAAGATCTAGTTATGGAGAATATTTTCCTTTCATATGGTTTGTAGTGATAATGGGAATCCTTTTTAGTCTTTGTTTTGTCTTTGAATTGTGAATGTTAGCAAACCAGATCTTTGGCCAATTCACTTCATTAAATTGTTCCAAATTCTTGTCATGAACAGTGAGAAAGAAGGGAGAAGAGATAAGAGAAGAGGAAACAAAGATAGCATAGATCGTTGGGTCTAAGAATACCACATGCCAAATACATACTCCCAATGATAATATTAAATTATCCAAAATTATAAGAAAACCCCCAATGGTGCTGATACTACTTTAAAGTTCCTGACTATATAGAAAGAAATAATGTAATCCTGGAAAATACTCTAGAGCTTCTCTTGAACAAGGAAACTTTTAGATTCTAGTATAGAAACAAATAGCTCTTAAACCACACACACAAGTATCAAATCACCTTGACTGCACTAATGACAACACTTCCAGCTCTTACCCATGGTAATACAAGTCCTAAACTGATAATATGGTACTTATGGTGGTTCACGAACTGTTATGGTCCTAAATAGTTAAAGTGCTTGGCTTAACACATTCTATCAGTCTTTAAGGCTTTTGGCGTATTGGTCAAGCACACAACATTTGGTATCAAAGCCTACCACCACATCTCAAGTTCGAATCCCGGAGAGGGCTACCTAGAGTAGAGTGAAAGTTGTCATGGAAAGGACTACCTGGAGCAGAGTGAAAGCCGCCAAAGGGAAAGGGATACCTGTTGCCAGAGTGTGAGCCGTCATGGAAAAGGCTATTTACCACCAGAGTGATAGCCATCATGAAGAGGGCTACCTACCGCTAGAGTGAGAGCTGCCTATAGTGAAGCCACCAAGATGTTGGATACGGAAGCGTGGTGGTATGTTACAGTCCTAAATAGATAAAGTGCTTGGCTTGACGAGTTCCATCAGTCTCAAGGTTTTTGGCGTATTGATCAAGCATACAACACAGACCTTGATGAAGACATGACCAATCATCTAGTCCACCTCTTGCAATTTCTCAATAATGACAATATACTACTAATTTAACAAAGACCCTACCACATATGACAATATGTGGAACACTTTACGAAATACTTTAACATATCAAATACCTCAATAACATACAAAACAACTAAGATGTATGGAAAGAAATAGCCCTTCAACCCAACAAGCATTCCCCCTTAGTCAAAACCTGTAGCTTTTCAAGAATTTCATCAAATACATGTAAGGCACAATGAATCTTAGCATTGGAAACACTTGACCAATTTAGTTACATTCATCATCATTGATCTTCTACAAAAACAAGTATGTTCATGATCAAAGAATCATTACCCCTATCTTTTAATTCTGTATTGCCCATTTGCATGCACCATTAGCCATCCGTTTTAGAGTCTTGAACCTGCATAAAGGCAGTCCTCACTAGATTTACACTTTATTTCAAGATTCCTTTGCATGTACTTCATTTATGATTGCCTTGCATAGTTTTTCCTATTGTTCATGTCAACCATCTGGTCGTGTCACTTCTATTATATTTGTATCCTCATTTAACTCTGAGATTTGTTCACCTTTTGCTTGGTGGTATTTAATATTATGTTGCTTTGGAATTTCCACAGGTTATTGGAGGAAGGAGGTACAGTTTTTACTTTTGAAGGAAGCAACAAAAAGTGTCCTCTAAAATGTGTCCTGAAGGTTCATAATCCCCAGTTTTACTGGAAGGTACGTCCCCTTGATTTATTTTTGATGTTTCTTCGTAATGAACTCAAGCCACTTAGCTATCAACAAAGAGAAGACTAGATTATAAGGTGCATACTTACTAATCTTATGTGATTACTGATTTAAATCACATTTCACGCTATATAAACTGTATGCTGCTGCTGAACCACAACAAATTCCTTTTAACAGGTTGCCACAGAGGCTGATATAGGTCTTGCTGATGCATACATCAATGGTGATTTTTCTTTTGTTGACAAGGAAGAAGGTCTTTTGAATTTGTTTATGGTAATAAAAACTTAAGCTGCATAAATATGTTTGGGAACTATGATTCAATCATCTAGTTAACGTTTATATCTGTTTATTTCTACAATTTTCCCTTTTTAAATCCCATACTGCAGATTTTTATTGCCAATAGGAATTTGGATTCTTCTGATGCAAGGAATAACAATAGAAGGTATCTTATGATTGGTAGATTAGTAAATTATTTTCCCTTTTTATTTATAACATGTATTTTGCATGAAGATTTTTAACAATTTCTAGTCCAGGGGTTGGTGGACACCGTTGTTTTTGACAGCTGCAATTGCATCTGCAAAGTACTTCTTTTGGCATATTTCAAGGCAAAATACTCTCACGCAAGCTCGCAGAAACATCTCTCGTCATTATGATCTGGTCTGATTCACTATTATAAATATATCATTCTATCTGATCTTTCTTGTTATATTTTTATGGCCATTCTGATGTACCATGCTCCTCAAAAATTTAGGGCACAGAATGATTCATTTTGTCTCTGCATAGACACCCAATAAAATGGAATGATTCATTTTCATCTGATTTTTTAATGTGTCCTTTATTTTAGTGGTATCAACTATCATGCTCTATGTTGCTCCATTTATTAATAACAGCACATAGAATGTCTCCTGTTTGAAATATTAGCAGAGAAAAATATATAATTATAATTTTACATTAATCTGTAGGTATATTCATTTCCCATGGCTAGCACTCTTTTCAATGAATAAAGGAAGTTGTGAACATAGGAGTGTATCTTGAACTTATTGTTGTTATTCAATGTTTATTGGCTTCTTGCATATGTTTAATATGTAGTAACCATAAGAGTTCTTATGTTGGAAAGAATTTTCTTGACTCTAGAAAGTTATCCCTAGTACAATGATCCAACAGAGTTGAAAGTGCTAACTGGCTGTTAAGTCCTCAAGTTTGTTGGACTGGGAGCAGGTTATTAAGATACTCTTAGACACAACTTAAACAAAATAATAATAAAGAAGAAAATGGGCTTTTTAAGCCCAATCAGTCCTATGGATGGGCAAAAACATTTTAATAAAGAAAGGGGCCTATAGTCTAATTTAGTGAACACTAGGCCCCAAGTTAATTGGGCTTGTTTGTAATGCAATAAGCACTTAATGGGCTTGCAGTAGAGCCCATTTAATGGGACTAAAGGCCCTAAAAGAATTAAATCTGTATTAATTAATTTTTTTGTGAGGTGTCCCACTTATTTATAAGGGGATGCCACTTGTCATATTCTAATAAGAGGGCTTTTTGTTCCCTCCTCTAACCACTTTAAGTGGGGGGACACATGTCACCCTAGCGAGAGAGTTATTTTCTCTCCTCCAACCACTTTAAGTGGGGGGACACTTGTCACCTCAGGAAGGAAGAGTTTTCTTCTCCCTCCTTAACCCACTTTAAGTGGGGAGACACATATCACCCTAGGGGAGAGAGTTATTTTCCTTCCTCTAACCACTTTAAGTGGAGGGACACTTGTCACCTTAGGAAGGAAGAGTTTTTTTTTTTCCTCCTTAACCCATTTTAAGTGGGGTGACACTTGGCACCCTAAGAAGAGAGAGGTGGGGAGTTACTTAACCACCTCCCTCCTCTATATAAACCCCTCTCCTACAAGTAGAAGCAAGGTTCGTATCGGCCGATACGTACCATTCCGAGACCTCCCCGAGATACCCCTACAGTGGGTGTATTGGGGTTCTGACTGGTTCACGGGGTGGAGGAGCCTTAAACCGCTCCCTGAACTGGTTTTGAAAAATAGGTAAAAAAACAAGTATCGATATCGCCTGATATGCTGCCCCTACCGGCATATCGGGCATATCAATATTTTGAACCTTGAGGAGAAGGGCTAATGCCATTTTGTTGGCTAATACTAATTTATCTATAGGATTTTTAGCACTAAGAAACAAGTGGGAAGAGAAAAGAGAAGAAGATTGGTGTGGAAAGCATAAAAAAAAAAAGAAGAGGAAGGTAGGGAACCTTGTTTTCTTCCTACATCCCTTTAATATGATGCTCCTTGTGATTCCCACATGAGATGGAAGACCATATTCTTTCTATTCATCTCACTCCTTTCTTTCTTCCTTTTTTTATTCTTTTCTTCCTTGTTTCATATTGGAATACATGTAAGGAGATAACCATCTATAGTATTGTCTATGAAACTTGGCTAATTATGGTTCCTTACTTCATTTTGACCCTGAAAAGCATTATTTTATGTGAGGGAGACAATCATCTACAACCTTGTTCATGAAACTTGGCCGATTATGGTTCCTCACAGCATGATAATGCACATAACCACAATTTAAAGGACATTTGCAGCCTTATTGATGAAATATGACTATTTATGATACATATTTACTTGATATGTATAAAAAGTTTGTTTATTTATTTGCTGGTTTTCTCTCAAACAAAGAGGGAATATATACCAGAATTTTCCTTTGAAAATTCTGTACAAAAATGATACTTAGTTTAGTCTGTTCATTTGTACTTTTGAATCAAAACCAAAAGGTTTTCTCTGCCCCTAGCAGAGATGTAATTAAGGGAATATCTACGTAATTTCCTGAATGGGGCTTACCCCAAATAACAAAAAACCCAGTTATTAGTCTAATTGGGTGAAATATGTTATTTGATAAATTATACTAAAAAAATTTCCACTAACACTAGCTCAACTGGTAAAGTTGGTGGATATTGTTTGCACTAATCTGGGATCAAAATCTCAAAGTTTGCCTATCCAAAAAAAAAAAAAGATCCAATAGAGAAGAGATTGATCCCTAGTGTCTTTGCAAGTAAGTGCTTAAAGAGTTCCGTTTCCAATCAAAAGAAAGTGCACAAAGAGTACCAGTTATCCTTCATGAACATAATGGGGTACAGGTTTCTGCCTCCTCTGATATCATCTGCAGAATCTGTAGATAACTCAGGAGACAGGAAGACATAAATTAACATAATCAGAGTCCAGAAATTACACAGAAGAACATTGAAACAAGCACAACCTCCTTAATATAATAGAAGATGCTTCTGCAGAAGTTGGCTATGGAAGTGGATTTTCTCTAAGAAATGTTTATGGAAGTTATTTGCCACTGCCTAAAAGTGGCTCTTTTAGCTCTTCTAGTGGTTGCCTTAATAGAAAGTGTGATGCAGAAATGTGACAAAACATAAGAAAAAATCTATGAAATTTTCAGAAAATTTAGGGTTTTAAGGCTAGTATTTAATTGGAAAATGTGAGGAAAAATTCTATGGATGGTTTGGGATGGCTTGTGATGGAATTGAATAAGAGGGATTAGAGATCTAAGGGTTAAACTATCCATTCTAGTGTGAGAAAGTGAAGATTTCTGGAAACCAAATATCTATGTATGATATGGCCAACACCTGGAAAAGGATTGTAGAGAAGTTATTGTTTTGAAACTAGACACAAAGAACTATTCATAGCCTTCGATGTATGGGATGGAGCATAGTACACAGTATTTCTGTATTTTTGTAATTTCCCCTGCGTACAGAAAGTGAAACACTACTGACTGACCTAATAACCATCAAAACTTGAAACATGACTAAACAACAACCAGAAAACAATGATTTCATAAATCCAAGACCACTGCCAATGAATGAAAATGACAAAACCTACTTTAGTTAGTACCTAATCAATGAACAGCAGTAATAGAAGGCTAGTAAAAGGAGAAATTAGAAGGGAAGAAGGGGGGGGGGGGAGAGAGAGAGAGAGAGAGTAGAAAACCCTAGAATCACCCTAAGAGATCTCTAAACTCACTATAGGTGTGATCTTGGTGAATCACTGTTCACAGTAATAATGGAATTGCCCATCCTCACTAATGGACTAGGGCTGCAAATGGATTGGATTGAATTGGATATACCAAGATCTAAATTTGATTCATCAAATTCTGTCCTGCTATCCATCAGACTTAGATAACACTATCAATAATTAAACTAAAAATGATCAAAATATTATATACCATTAATAAATTGATCTGAAATGACTTTTGATATTATAGAACATGATACATGAACTGTGGTATAGTCCGTTTCTCCTGAAAGTCAGGATTTTCTGCTGGGAAGCTTCCAACCAAATCATAAACACCCAAGAGAGGCTTCAAAAGAAATGGAAGAACTGGCAACTATCCCCTCGTGTGTGTGTGTGTGTGTGTGTGTTTGTTGTGCTTGAAGAGTGGGGATTCCACCAACCACTTGCTTTTGCTATGTCCCTTGGCAGATCAGTTATGGAAGCATTTTTGTCTTTACTTGGAAAGATTTGAGTTGCACCAAGGGAGGTTCTGGACCTGTTCAAGACAGATTTCATTAGTTTTACTACTCATAGACAAAAAGGTCCTGTGGAGGTGTATGAGAGGAGAAAGAAATGCAAGCCTGTTGAAGAGGTGTTAGAGTTAACAATGATTAGAGAGGCACATTGGACACTAGTAACAGAGGAATTTAAAGGAGTTTCCATGAATGATTTGATGAGGGGATGGAAAACTGTGTCTACTTTTCAGATCAGAAACAACAAAGAGTGCTGGTTTGGAATTCTCCTGAAGCTGGTTTAATTAAGTTCAACTTTGATGGGTGTTGTCTTGGGAACCCAGGGCTGTCTGGGTTGGGGTGTGGTAAGAAATCAGAAGGCACCATTATTCTCAGCTTTACAGGCCCAGCAGGACAGGGTATCTCTCTGAGGGCAGAGTTGTTAGCACTGATACAAGATTTAGAATTGATACAGCGGGAGTGGAAAGATGTGGTAGTATAAGGGGACTGCCAGACTGATTTCTTGGATGACGGCACAAGAACTTTTACCATGGAAGTTTAGACAGCTGGTGAGGAAGGCAGTGGCTATTGGGACTTCATTAAATGCCTCATTCAATTGGGTTCCTTGACGTGCAAATATGTTGGCAGATACTTTAGCAAGAGGAGAGGTGGAAAAAGAGGTATTGGAATGGGGTTTCCCAGGACCGAGCTGTACTAGGTAAAGCTCCTGGGTTGTTGTTTCTTGGGTCTCTTTGTTTGTTGTATAGCTGCTGGATTTTTGTTCCTTTTCTCTTTGTTTCCATCTACTTTCTACATTGAGGCCTGCTGCAGTTAGAGCAGCTAGATTTTTATTTAATGAAAGTTTCCTGTGATTCATCAAAAAAAAAATATTATATAACATGAACAAAATGAATTGAAAATAAATTCTATAAGAAAATTGAAAGTGAAAGTGAAAATGAGAAAATTGCAATTTTCTTACTTCAGATTTTATTTTACTTCGTTTGGACTGCAAAAAAAATCAAAACAAAGTAAAACGTATAATAAAATTAAATGAAAATTTTGATTCAGCTAATTTGCAACCCCATACTTTTGCACTAGTGCAAATGAAATTGCACTACAAACAAACAAGGCCTAGTAAACATACAACATTTAAACCAATTTTACCAATAGATACAATAAATGTTTTGTCTGTGTATATTATCGAATTGAATCATATTGGATCAAATAAGGGTGGGCCCATATTGGATAATCCTAACTTGATCAAATTCTAATTCAGACTTGGACAAACGAATACCATTTGCAGCCCTAGGATAGATTGACCCAATAACCATGAAACTTGAAACTCACCATAGAAACAACTAGATCAACAAATCTTACTGTCTTACAGACAGGACCTATTATGAAAAAAAATGAAAATGACAAAAGTACCCTTGGACCAAAATATCATGTAAACTAACAAAAATTAGCCTAAATCCCAAAGAACCATTCTATGACAAATCAAGGCATGTTGGTTAGCCTTTTTTTCTTCTAGAAAAAAATCGTTTAGAGGCTTCTTAGGATTCCCAACAATGTAACTCTGATTTTTAAGCTTCTTATAAAGAGTAGGATTCAATAAGAATAAGGAAGAAAAGTAAGAAAAGAAGACATGAAAAGGGACATGTGTGTGAGTTTGAGACAGAGAAAACGTGGATCATATGACTGCATTCAATGTTATTTACACTCACTTATAGTTAAAGATAAAATTATAATAATGCCCCCCAGTTTAACAAGTCATTACTTCAAGATGATCCAGTCACTGTTTGTTACCTCAATTTATAAGATCTTAATTCATTAAACCACTTGATGTCAAGAGAAATGTATGGAAAACCTTTTAGTTCTAAAATTTCAAGTAACCAGTCATAGTAATTGCAAGAATTTTATTTTTAGAAAGTATACAAGCATCAAAGTTCACCAGATATTAGTCATGACTGATTTCTAGTCCTAAGCACTTTCAGTTTGTATCTTATGTTTATATGGTTACAAGTTCCAAATTTCTTATTGGTAGCTGTCCACTTGAGATCATGGTAGTCATGTATGGTTTTCACATGCTGATGTGTAGACTACCTCATTTTTTTGATTGGTAAGTAAAACTTTATTGATTATGTTATTTAAAAAAATGCTATATACAGAGTTGATTGCCCACAATTTAGGCTGGTCCTTAATACTCTTTTATAAAACACCACTAGGTAGTTATTTCCAAGAATATATAACCCCTATTAACCCCTTCTTTTGCTAAATAATCGGTCATAATGTTTTCTGACCTATGCACACTACCAAGGGTAATAAGCAATTCCCTTGCTAAAAATTTAACTTTCTATACATGTGAGTTGATGGTACCAGTTTCCTTTTCTGTCATTCTTCAGCCACCCCACCACGACCTTTGAATCTCCTATTATTAAATTCTTCATGTTAAGAATTTTGCCCATTCTTAATCCCTGCAACATTATTAGCAATTCATCCACCGCCCCTAGTAGAGTCACCAATGCCTATGGGACCTAAGTAAAGTGCTAAAATTCACCCGCAACTGTTTTTAAAAGCTCCTATGCTTAAAAGACCTGGAATCCACAAACTGCATCTGTCAAAGTTTAGTTTTACTTGATTCATAGCTGGTGGGTTCCATTCCATGAGGAAGTTGGGCCTTGAACTTGAAGAGTGGACCACGATTTTTGCCATTTATAGATGATATCCTCTTTGGAAAAAGGTTCAGAGATCTCAAGTTTCTAGACCCAATGCACAACTCTTATTGATACATTCTCAATAATTGCCTCTTTGAGTTGCTGCTTATTTTTTAAAGACCCTCACCTCTTCGGAAAAAGGTGCAAAGATCTGCACATAATCATGCCTCTTATCTTTGAGGTTAAAAAAGAAATCTTGAATAGATTTTCCACATTAAAGGAAGGAGACCAATCCAAATTTTTGGAGGTACAAGGGCAAGAGATTAGTAGATAGAATGTAAATTCCTCACTTGCTTCACAAAGAAAGCAAATATGAGGTGAAAGGCACCAGTTAGGTCTCCTTTTTACAAGACTTCACACGAATTGATATCCCCCACTAAAAGGCCCTAACTTTATCTATAACTGGTCTACTAGAAAAGCTTAACAACGAGAAGATAAAGGAGGCACACGAGAATGGTCCTGAAGCTGTGAGAGACCAATAATAAGAATCAAGTACCAAAGTGTCAAGGAAATCCCCATACAAGAGACAGAAATAAGGTACAACATTTAAGCTAGTTCAAAACTCTTAAACCTCTTCTAAGACCCAAATCCCAAGATAAACCTAAGTCAGAGATAGAAATCAGTAAAGAAATAACTTTTCTCTTGTTAGAAGAAATAGAGTAGAAAAGAAGGAGCTGGTCTTTCAAAGGTTAGACTTCCCAAGGAAGATCTTCCAAGTTGACTTTATCATCAGCAGAGACATCATAACAGATGAATTAAGAAAAGTTGGGGAGCAAAGCAGAGATGGCTTTCCAGGGAGAGGCATGATAAATCCTAGAGACTACCCAAGTGTCCATCCATTTGTAGATCAACCATGAATGCTACTACTGTCATTATGCCATAGATTGTCCTGTTTAAGAGGAAAACACCATAGCCATCTGTGTATGGTCTATTGCATGCTTGAATGGTTGAACTTGAGAGCACCCTTTTCATATTGCACAACTTCTTTTTTCTTTTTTATGATATTGTATCATGGCCAGCATAAAATATGTTCTTACGGTTTTCTATTCTTTCCCATTTTCTAGAGTAATGACCTCTTTGCCCTGTTCTTGGACAAAACAATGACATACTCATGTGCAATATTTAAGGTCCATCCCGTCCCCTTGTGGTTATTTGAAAAAGAATGTGATTTCAATTTTCCATATTTTATGTTACATGTTTTTCTTTATGATGCTCACTTCAGTATGTAAATCATCTGATAGGCAGAGAATGAAGATTTAAAGGTCGCACAGCTGAGGAAAATCTCTGTCCTCATTGAAAAAGTTAGTTCATTTTCGAACATGTTTATTTAATTGTTTCCTGGATGTCCCGATGACATGCAATATTTATACTGGATGAACATCTCTAGGCAAGAATTGAAAGAAACCATGAAATTCTTGAGATCGGATGTGGTTGGGGTAGCTTGGCAATAGAGGTTGTGAAGCAAACTGGATGCAAATACACAGGCATCACCCTATCTGAGGAGCAACTGAAATATGCTGAACAGAGAGTAAAAGAAGCAGGACTACAGGTATTTCTCTCAAAAAAACTCCATTGAAGTAATTTTCATTCTTACTGATCCTATATTACATCTTCCCAAAACTATCTATTTTCATATAATAGAAGTTTTCAGGTGATAATGGATAGGATAAAGGTCAGAATATAAAATTCTTCTCAGTTAACTAGTATGCAATTAGGTGTGCAGAGAATGCAGTTTCAGAAAATACTATAAACTCTTTTCTGTTATAATTACAGGACTGAAAAGTACTCAAGTACCAAATTTGATAATCTCAATAGTACTAAACTGGTAACTCTTTGCTGGAATGTATAACACTGGTACTGAAGATGAACTGTTGATGATGCCAATTTCTTAACCAAGTTTTTCAAAATATCCAGTATAACCTCAAAATAAGAGATTGTAGGGTTGAGATGGTCCAAAACCACTGATTTTTAAAATCACTGATAAACAATACAGGTGTGTATGGCAGTCAGAAATAGTTTTTCAAAAATAGTACATTATACCCTTTATATTTGGACTTTAGGTTCAGTTTGGAAGGAGTACAAATGCAAATACGTAGAGTGCAAAACTATGTATTTGTACTATACATATTTGTATTTGTACTCCATCCAAACTGAACCTTAGTAACATTTTTTGTTGCAATTATTGTTTTACCTAATTTATCAAATGAAGCAGCAAGGTATTCTGTTTCTTTAGTAACAAGATGTAAGAAAATCTAAGAGTAACCACCATTTTCTCAGCAGTTATATCCATTTAAAACTGTGAGAAGCAGGTTCATTTCCCACCCTATTTACATAAGAAAAGGCCACTACCAATGCTGGTCCCACTATCTAGGGTCTTGGAAGAGGTTCTTCTCAAACTAGTCAACCCAGTATTTTACCATTATACCAAGCAATATATATTATATTATATTATATTATATATATTAAAAATGCCCCTCAGGTTTTATTAACTGTGCTCTCAGGACCACATCAAATTTCTCCTCTGTGATTATCGCCAATTGCCATACTCTCACAAGTATGACAGGATTATATCATGGTGAGTTTCTGATCACCACTAATTCTCTATCCATTTTTTATATGCTGAGTTGAATACTTGAATTATATTGTCTTACGGTTGTTTTCTTTCTTTTTTTTTTTTCCTTAATACAGTGAGATGCTAGAAGCAGTAGGCCATGAATATATGGAGGAGTTTTTGGGCTGTTGTGAATCAGTGTTGGCAGAAAATGGCCTTCTTGTTCTACAGGTTTACCACTGATTGAATGTTCTTATGTAAATCTTGTTTTCATCAAAGCAATGCTGTCCCATTTAGTTTATATGGTTATGTAATTAAGGGCCTTTGCAGAAAATTTCTATCGATCTACTTGGACTGATTGGTGATTTGTTTTCTCAAAATTGACTTCTAAAAGTCTTGTATCTCTCAAGACTTAAGTTTTCAACTTTTATATCTTGAATGTTATGGCATGTAAATATTCCCCTTATTAGTCAACTTTTACAAATCTTGAACGTTATGGCTTATGTAAATCTTGTTTTCATCATAACACTGCTGTCTCGTTAGTGTAGATGGTTGAATTACAGAACAAAGAGCTTAAAATGAAAGAGACAACTTATTATAATTTTACATGTTTCACTATATATTGGCTCAGAAAATGAATGGATATTGGTGGATTTCTTTACAGTTTATATCAATACCAGATGAACGATATGATGAGTACAGGCGAAGCTCAGATTTTATTAAGGAATACATTTTTCCTGGTGGATGCATTCCTTCATTGTCTAGAGTTACATCAGCCATGGCCTCTGCATCCAGACTCTGGTAAATATTGATAATGCCATCTTAATTATCAGGTTGATATCAACTCTCCTATCTTGATGTCCATTCTGAAAATTTACAATGCTGTGGTATTTAATTGCAGTGTGGAGCACCTGGAGAATATAGGAATACATTACTATCAAACGCTGATATATTGGAGGAATAGTTTCATGGAAAAGCAGAGGTATGAATAATCATGAAATGCTCAACCACTAAAAAAACAAAAATTCATGCAATGCTCCTTTTCCCTTGACAAAGCATGACCGAATTTGAAAGTTGAAACTTAGCAAAACTTAAGGGTGCAATGCTCACAGATAAGGAAAAGTAAACAACCATTAATTTCAGATGGCATCAAATACCGTTGTATGACTTAATTAATTAGATGATCATAATATATATTTTAAAATCATGAAACTACCTTAAAATTACATGATGGGACTCATAAATAGGATTTGATTTTATATGATAATGAGTTGGGATTCTGCTAAGGATTAGTTGTTCCATTTTCATTTTATGTCCAGTGGGGTTGTTTAATAATATACGCTTCCAAATATTATTTCTTTTTCTTTCTTTTCTTTCCTGAGAACTGAAACTTTTCAGAAATCACTGGATTAGTAATAATGATCTTGAAAAATGATTTCTCCATATTCAATGCCTTACAAAGATGCTTCCATGCTAAGTTTTAGATATACCTCATCTTTTAGAATAGAACTCAGAATTGTTTTTTCTTCTCAAGTAGTGGCATTTAGATTTGCATTTTATTACCAGAAACCAGTAAATAAACTTTGTTCTATGCTAAATCACTGTTATGTTTTTTGATCTTGATTTTTTAGGGACCAATGTTCTTGTATTATGGTACTGAAATGTTAAATTTTTTATTCCAGTGAGATTCTTGCATTAGGATTTGACGAGAAGTTCATCCGGACATGGGAGTATTATTTTATATACTGTGCAGCTGGTTTTAGGTCACGTACACTGGGAAACTACCAGGTAAGCACATAATATAGCCTGTGGTTGCTTCTTCACCTTACCTCATAGGTGGGGCCAAATGGGGTGGACTGCAAGTTACTGACAAATTTAAATTTAATCTAGGATGGTAGAAATCAACTTGTGCAGTGAAGTTTTTTTTTTTTTAAGTCAGATACTCTTAACAGAAAAAGGAAAGGAATAAAAACACACTTAGATGCACACTCATTCCCAGGAGTAGGGGTGAGCAAATAGTTTATGCGTACAGAACCGAATAAATCAAAATTTTAAATGACAAAACAGACCAAAATTGAAATAACTGAAACTGAAACTTTCGATTCGGCTTTTCATTATTTCAGTTAAAACCGAATTTCATCATTAACATTATATATGTTGATGTAACGGTTTCTGGTCACGTATCATTTTTTGGCTAAGTATCTCGTCACCTCGTCTACTCTCAAGTGGCCGAAGTGGAGCTCCCTAGCGTAGCGCAACCCAGCTGCTCCCTGCAGGAGTTGATCTGGCTACCAGCAATGACAGGAACTGAACCGGCTACTTCCTGCTGGAGATGATTTGCTCATCTTTGTAGGCGGCGGGAACTGAGGGACCTGCATGAGCTGAATCAGAGAACCCGGGGGTGTTTACCTGGCGAGGTCACTCTGATGGCTAAGTCAGCACTTAGTCATGAGCTAAGAATGATATTAGAGAATGAGAGAGCTAGAGAGCAGGGGTTACCATCTCTCCTCGCCCCTGGGGGGTGAGGCCTTTATATACTGGAGTCCTCGTGGGTTTGGTGGAGCAGTTCCTGGATTCCCACTGTGATGGGACCTGCTTTCATGTTAGGTGGGCATAAAGCCACCAACTGGTAAGGTTGCCCATTTCCGCCTTAATTGGGGAGTGGGTGAGCTAATATAGCCGTTACAAGTCACAATCCCATGAAATGCAGGGAACGGTGGTGAGCTCCTCGGGGTTGTCACATGGTGGTCAGTTTGACTAGGAGGCGAGCTGCCCGAAAGTGGCGAGCTGCCTGTGGTGAGCTGCCTGTGGCGAGTTGCCTAGTGGCGAGCTGCTTGGTGGCGAAGTGCCTAGTGGCGAGCTGCCTAGTAGCAAGCTGCCTGTGCAGTGCCGCATGGTGGCGAGCTGCCTGTAAGTGCTGCAAGGTGGCAAGCTGCCTATAAGTGCTGCAAGGTGGTGAGCTGCCTGTAAGGGCTGCAAGGTGGCGAGCTGCCTATGGTGAGCTGCCTAGTTGTCAAGAGGTTGCATCTAGTTTCCATAAGGTGCTAGGTGTCATAGTGTCATTGGAGGACCAAATCCGCCCTCATCATTTGCCCCCCACTCCTGAGCTGAAAGTAACTCGGCGAAGGGGGTAGATTTCTCCTTTTGGCCTGTAATTCGATGAGCTCGTAAGCATTGATTCAATTCCTTAGGTTCTGGGAGCGACTCGCAATCCACTCCTGAACTTTGCCCATGCCGAAGAGGCAACTGGGTCTTAAGCAGTATCATGGCCCTTAGGCTTTGGGAGYGACTCATAGTCCACTCCTGAACTTTGCCCATGCCGAAGAGGCAACTGGGTCTTAAGYAGTATCATGGCCCTTAGGCTTTGGGAGCGACTCATAGYCCACTCCTGAACTTTGCCCATGCCGAAGAGGCAACTGGGTCTTAAGYAGTATCATGGCCCTTAGGCTTTGGGAGCGACTCATAGTCCACTCCTGAACTTTGCCCATGCCGAAGAGGCAACTGGGTCTTAAGCAGTATCATGGCCCTTAGGCTTTGGGAGCGACTCATAGYCCACTCCTGAACTTTGCCCATGCCGAAGAGGCAACTGGGTCTTAAGYAGTATCATGGCCCTTAGGCTTTGGGAGYGACTCATAGYCCACTCCTGAACTTTGCCCATGCCGAAGAGGCAACTGGGTCTTAAGCGATGAGGAAGTCTTTTACCAGTTCGTCAGATCGCGCCTGGGCCAGGCCGCCAGGATGGCGCCCGTGCCAGGTCGTGCCAAGTCGGTGCATGTGCCAGGCTACCAGGCCGCCAGGCCGTCGGGTGGGCACCTTAGAGCTATGACTGCACTGCATCCACCTCGTAATGCGAGAGCTTCAGTAATTAAAAAGTGAGGGCTTAGCTTTCTAGGAGAAGAGGACTTAGCCTTTTGTAGGATGAGAACTTAGCTTTTTGTAGGATGAGAACTTAGCTTTTTGTAGCGTGATCCCACAGACGGCGCCAAATGATGTAACGATTTCTGGTCACATATCATTTTTTGGCTAAGTACCTCGTCACCTCGTCTGCTCCCAAGTGGTCGATGACTCAGAGGCCGAAGTGGAGCTCCCTAGCGTAGCGCAACCCAGATGCTCCCTACAGGAGGTGATCTGGCTACCAGCAACGACGGGAACTAAATCGGCTACTTCTTGCTGGAGATGATCTGCTCATCTTTGTAGGCGGCGAGAACTGAGGGACCTGCATGAGCTGAATCAGAGAACCCGGGGGTGTTTACTCGGCGAGGTCACTCCGATGGTTAAGTCAGCACTTAGTCGTGAGCTGAGAATGATATTAGAGAATGAGAGAGCTAGAGAGCAGGGGTTACCATCTCTCCTCGTCCCTGGGGGGTGAGGCCTTTATATACTGGAGTCCTCGTGGGTTTGGTGGAGCAATTCCTGGATTCCCGCTGTGATGGGACCTGCTTTCGTGTTAGGTGGGCATAAATCCACCAACTGGTAAGGTTGCCCATTTCCGCCTTAATCGGGGAGTGGATGAGCTAATATAGCCGTTACAAGTCACAATCCCATGAAATGCGGGGTACAGTGGTGAGCTCCTCGGGGTTGTCACATGGTGGTCGGTCTGACTAGGAGGCGATCCACCTGTAAGTGGCGAGCTGCCTGTGGCTAGCTGCTTGGTGGCGAACTGCCTAGTGGTGAGCTGCCTGTGCAGTGCCGCATGGTGGCGAGCTGCCTATAAGTGCTGCAAGGTGGCGAGCTGCCTGTAAGGTGTTGGGCTGACTAGGTTCCGAGCTGCCTGTAAGTGTTGCAAGGTGGCGAGCTGCCTAGTGGCAAGCTGCCTGTGGCGAGCTGCTTGTAAGTGCTGCAAGGTGGCGAGCTGCCTAGTGGCAAGCTGCCTGTAAGGGCTACAAGGTGGCGAGCTGCCTGTAAGTGGCGAGCTGCCTAGTTGTCAAGAGGCTGCATCTAGTTGCCATAAGGTGCTAGGTGTCATAGTGTCATTGGAGGGCCAAATCCGCCCTCATCATATGTTATACATATTATATATGTGTTATATATTAAAAATATATATTGTACATGTTATATATGTATTATATGTTAATATATATAGGGTAAAAGAATTAAAGCTCCCTTCATTTTTATCCTCAACACTAAAACATCCCCTCCTTTTTCAAATTGGACTAAGACCCCCCAGGACGTCATAAGACAAAAGCCTCCCCTATGTTAACATTCCATCCAATCCGTTGGCATTTGACATCTTGTGGGAGTTATTTTTTCCTAAAACCCAATTATGTCCATTATCGCCCATTGCTCTGTTCTCAGTGTGTCAGTCTCATACCTAAAAACGTGATAGAAGTCTGCACTCCCTGTACCACCCAACACACATTTTATTTTGGTATTTCCACATTGCTCATTTGGGTTGAGCGTTGTCTGGGTTAGTAGGTACGACTGCATGGGTGATTGTTAGTTGTTAGATGAAGTTTTTGGAGGCTGGGGGTGCATTCTGTTCCTATTGCTGATGTAGAAGTAACTGAGGCGTATACAGTGTATCAAACTCTTCAAAATGTGTAGAAGTTTATGGACAAGGACATTCTAATGACTAGCAAAAATTAGATTGTTATCGGGTTCATAGAGAACAAAGCTGAATACTCATGTTCATGGTTGAACTGTCCCTTTTTTTTGTGATTCTAAATCTCTTATTACTCAGTTCTATAGCGTTTCATCATATTAGTCATGATACAAATAAACTGGCCCATATCTTGGTGTCTTAGAGAGTCAAGGTTTTGCCTTTAATGGGTTTTAGTCCTTCATGTAATTTTATCCTTCCATGAAAAAAAAAACAGTGATAATTTTTATTTCCCAGTTTAGGTGGTTTCTTAAATTTAAAGAATAATTAAGGATAAAAGAGTCTTTTTATTGTTTCTGTCAAATTTAATGTAATCTTATTCTAACAGGGCAGGTATAAGTCCTATTAGAAATTAGAAGTGAGGTATTAGTATTTATCTTAAACTTTAGGGGAGGTTTAAGGCTGCATTTGGCATTCCTTATTTTAAGGACTTATCTCCTTTTTGCAATTAAAAACTTAGTATTAATAGGGGCATTTTAACTGCAAAAAGGAGATAAGTCCTTAAAATAAGGAATGCCAAATGCAGCCCAAGTCTTTTACCCTAACATATAGATAATAAAGTTCAGTTAATTTGGTTTTTTCGGTTAACCGAATTTTTAAACCTGAAAACCGAAATCAAAACCAAAATTTTATGAAACTGAAATAACCAAAAAAAAAAAAAAACGGAACCGAAATTTTCAGTTTTAACCGAACAATGGTCACCCCTACCCTGGTCGCTGGGCTAAAGAGAACACCTTGGTTTTCTTTGTGACACATCAATGTGACTATTCATAGATATTATCTATGAAAAATCTTTATTTGTTTGTTCTATGGGAATGGATTTGCTGATTGAATTGTTTAGAGAAGAATTCTAAAAGATACAGAAACTTTTACAATATAAGGTTGTTTGGGGCGCATGTCCAGAGAAAACCCTTTTTATTTGTGCAGTTTTAGTCATCATGCATGGAAAAAGTCATACAAGGTGAGTCATAGGGTTGATGTGGATTTGGGGATTGAAGATGTAGACATCCAGAGAGTCCTCCATTCAGTGGATGGTTCAGATTGGCCACATAAGGGGTGCATCTAAAAATTAATGCAAAAAAAAAAAATTATGAATAAAGGTCAGCAGATCTTGCTTATTTGGAGTCAGGTCCTAATCCTCCTTTCACAGGAGACAAGGAAATTCAACCAACTTAATAGCTCATATGGTGATGGCACCTTCATTATATCTGTCAACTATTATACTATTACATGCATGCATTCAGGTTTGATGCTTGACACCCATGTAATTTCATATACCATACCACCAATAGATAGAGCTCCTGTGAAACAGCTGTAAGAAACATTAACTGGTATCAAAAATGAATCAATCAAAAAGCTCTATCTTGAGCTTGTACTAGAAGTCCAAGAAAAAAAAAAAAAAAAAACTGATCCTCCATATTAGTTTTGAGTGTTTTCTCATTCTCTACAAGCCATAAATATTTAAATATTGATACCTCGGCACAATGCAGATTGTATTTTCAAGACCAGGCAACCTCACTGCATTCAGCGATCCATACAAAGGTCTGCCATCAGCATTTTAAGCCTCCCCTCGGAGTTGTACTGACAGGTAAAGCCCAGTTGCTGTATCTCCAATATTTATTATTTCTCTCAAAAGCAGAGCAGACCGACCTGTTAAGGCCAGTAGAACTATGTCCACTAATTTTCTTACATTATTAATCACCAATAACTCCAAGAATGTATTCAAGGATTGTTTTCTCGAATCATTTGTTGCAGGAAGAATTGGATTTCATTTTGTGATGCCCCAGCAAGGGGTCAATGAATACGTTGCCTTAGATACTTCAATTCGTTTGAGTATATTTTCCTATAAAAGAATTATAATAGGGTAGCTTGATTTTCTACAGTGGTCCTTCGGTCCCACTGACAAACAGTAGCAAACCTTGCCCAATACAAACAGCTACATTGTTAGGTTTATATGGTCTAAGGTTACTAATCAATAAGGGTATGTTTGGTTTGAAGGAAAATATAGGAAAACCTTCACAAATCTTGTATTGGTTTCCCTTCCTTTCCCTTCAAACCAAACATAGCCTAAGAGAAGTGTTTCTTCTCCAATTCTCCAATTATTGTGGCTTTCTAAATCTGCCATCTAATTCATTAAAATCTACCATTTACATCTCATTAACTGTGGCTTTCTCAAATTTTCAAGTCTGCCATAGTTTAAATTCCACCATTTCTCCCCCATTAATTGTGGCTTTACCATTTAATCCATTTGATCTATTTTACATTAGATACCGTTCCCACAATTTAAGCAATTTAATCTATCAAGTGTTACGACATCAAATACAGATGTATATTTCAAATCCCTCTCTGTTCTTATATAATTAAACCATTTAAAAGTTTTACTCTATTCATAACATTTGAGCCTGGATGTCGGGACAAAAGATTTCCTGAAACCGTGATTGCATGCGACCCCAATGAAATGAGAACAGACCAGTGTTTTAAACCAAACACCAATTGATGTAATGCTTTGGCTTTTCTTATTGAAGGGTGTCGGATTACTCGCCCATCACCAATAAACCATATTGCAGTGATGTCTTAATAGTTGAAATACCATGGATTTTATTCAACTTTTAAGTTGCATCTAGTTCAAATGAATAGTGTTATTATATTACTTTAAAACATTTTCCAACTCGTATATACAATTAAACTGAATTTCTTATGTGATTATAATTTGTCTGTAGTTAGTTATTTAAGCCTTAAATGCAGTGGTATTCATACAGTTGTAGGATTCACAGGGGTGGACTTCCCCTAGCGTATCCTTATCACTACACCGTATTCATGCACATCCAAAGGTAGCATTGCAATACTTACTGTAAAATGGCCTTAATGCATATTTTTCTCGCTACAAGGCATATCCATCCATTCAACTATACTATAGTATTTGATGATCTAACTAATTTTTCAATCAAGTCTTTCCCTTAAATACTTGGCTTCCAAGCATATATCCAAAATCCAAATAGCCCATAATTCACATAGATTTAATTCAAGGATTGCCGCATCAGTATAATCTGATACATAGTGGTCTTTGGTTATAATAACAATATTTCAATGACATTCCCATATGTAAATTGTAATGCCACTTCAAATTCTAATCTGCTATCATCAATACATTACCTATATAGGCTATATTTACTTTTATCAAGTATCAACCATTTCACTAACTCGTATATTATATTTAAAGCTCCACGCCTCCACCCCATTTTCAAAGCCGACTCCTACTTTTCCTACCAATGAGCATCTATCTAAACACAATTTCATACTAGGCTTTAGTTTTAGACATTATTCCAAGATCTTATTCATGGCGGGTTGAGCTCTAAAATTTGTGCTGTCAAAGTACTTTTAGTTTTAGACCATGTTTGGTTTGACACAATAGAGAATAACAAGGTCTGAGGGAAAACTGCCAACAAATTATGTTAACTTCTTAATGAATTTTCCGTCAGCTCTGTTTCTGCCCTATTTATCTCTATCAAACTAAGAACATCCTCAATATTTACGTGGATTTTCACACCATATCCACGCATACACCTTTAATCTTTTCTAATCGATCTCCTGGTTTTTTCCACGCACACTTTGCTTATTCGAAATAAGAAACTGTTCGCAATGGCTAGCTTACGAAACTTACTAATCGAGAACGGAATTTAAAGCCATCATCATAGAACAAGCAAAGGAAAACCTCACAAACCTACCACCTTTCCTTTGGACTTTCCCCCTTTTCATGGGTGGATTTTCTCCACTCCAGATCTGCTACCCCACAAGATCGCTACCCACACATGCCCACTAGACACTACAGCTGTGCTTCAGGAACATCTATCTTCCCATGAATGACGACACTAAATACAAGAACACTGGTGATGTTCCCGATGTGCGACTGCAATGTCTTGTCACTTGTGGACAGATGTGGGTTCTAGTGAATAGCAGATTAGAAGGCAGTTCAGTGGGGGCAGATATTTTTAATAACAAAAGCAGAGACATTTCATTTGGGGCCAAAAAGCTAGGTCCAATCCAAAATCCAACTAGATTTTAAATAAACTCCAGGAAGGTCTAAAAGATGTAAGACCATATTACCCCCCAAAAGACACCTTTGAACTGCACTGAAAATTGTTCAGCCATGACTTTGAGGTGTTTGTAAAAAGAAACATTTCAGAGACAAGAAAATCAAGGCCTTGTCCAAATGACAAAAGGAAACATATGGCAAACTACCTAGTGAATCAACATACCACCAGTTGCTTAAATTCAAGAGTCAGCACTGGCTGGGATCACAACCTGCATTGAAGATTGATTAGGATTTCATGGTATGAATTGCGAAGGCTTCCGAAGATCAACATTGTTTGCCTGAATGGGCCCCTCCCCTGTCTTGCTTGTTGAATGCATCAGGTCAATCGAGCAAACCCACGTTACCTGCCTTTCCACGCCACACATGACACACCCCCATTAAAAAACTTTGAGAGCGCCCACCAGGAAAGAATTCTGATTCCAATTTAGAACACGGGCATCTCTCTCCTCCTGTACAACAAGGGCAAATACAGGAGGAAAATGATTATGCCATGTCAAATATCTTAACTACCACTATCATTATCGCTAGCCATAACTTAGTGATTCAACCGAAGTTGCCTAGAGTTCCACCTTCTATTACCAAGAAGCTTCTCTACATCTTTAAGTCATTATCTACCATACGAAAAAATTGCTACAGCAAGCTACTATTGTCAAGATTCTAGCACCATCAAATTCCTATACAACTGCCTGAGATTACTGCTAATGTCACATCATAAACGAAATACTTGGCTAAGCATTCAACCAACGCCATAAAGGTAAATCTAGTTTAAGATACTCTAGTTTAATACTAGAGGAAAGATAAAGAGCTCCATATCGGCTACCAGAGACAACACTAAGCACACTGAATATAACACTACAACTTGCAAGCAAATACTATGAGGTATCTACTACTCCTCAGGAAGTACTACTCAATATATACTAGCAAAATAGAGACTACTGCAAGCTACTGGGATTCGAGCAATCCAACCAGTCACAAAATCCGCTGTCGTCCTGCAAGAAACATCACTCCTGGGCAATGAGAAAGCAACAAGACTGCAGAAGTCGATAGACAGTTCACATAGAGATTAATGATACACAGTTGGCACCATCTGGATTACTGCTGTTGGGCCTGCCTGGACTGAGCACTGCCATACCCACCACCATAACCCACTTGTCCACTTGGAGGTCCATTTGCTTGGGCAGCCCCATAACTTCCTGCCTGAGAGGCATCAGACCTCCAGGCTGCATTTGGATACCCTGGATTCCCATTAGCATCACCATAGCCACTTCCCATGTAGCCACCACCTGTTCCCTGTTGTTCCCCACCAGCACCAGCAATGCTATTTGGGGCACCACTTGAACGTCCTCCAACCACACCATAGCCACCTGGATTAGCATAAGATCCATCAGCCCCAGTATAACCACCATACCCATAACCCTGATTCCCATAGCTGGGAGCCCCACTTGGAGACTGACCTGTTGGTGCAGAAACAGAATTACCAGTACCTGTAGCACCACCAACACCTGGAGCATTCCAAGGAGCCGCAGCCCCATAACCTGCATTTGCACCATAGCCTGCAGAACCATATCCTGAAGGAGCTTGATTGCTCCATGGGCTTCTAGGGGCACCAGGTGGGCCACTTACATAACCAGCATTTGGGGCATTCGGGTTCCCATAGGCCCCAGCAGCGCCAGCATACCCGGCACTGGCACCACCATAGCCAACACCATAGCCACCATAGCCAACACCATTACCTGCTGCACCATAACCATAACCAGGTGCTCCATAGCCAGAAGAACCATATGCTGGAAAACCACCTCCAGCAGTTTGAGGCTGCATATACCTAGTGGCTTCCATTCGGCCATCATATGTATTTGTATTGGGACCAGAACCACCGTAACCCTGAAAACTCCCACCTCCCATTTGCCGGTTGCCACCACCAGGGTTTGCATCTTTTGGAAGGGCACGCTTAACCTCAACAAGTTTACCATTCAACTCATGGAAAGTCTTATGTAGGACTCTATCAACTGCCTCCTCAGTATCAAAGGAAATAAATCCAAACCCACGAGGTCGCTGTGTAGTCTGGTCGTACATAACTACTACATCAGTTACATGACCATAGGTCTCAAAATACTGACGGAAACCTTCTTCCGTCAATGTGGGAGGCAACCCTCCTACAAATATCTTCTTGGTCCTAACATTCCCAGCACCTCCAACGCTTCTGCCTGCATTAGGATTTCCAGATCTAGAAGAGGTCTGCTGTTCCTCTCTTGATAAAGCCCGTTTAGCTTCCACCTGAATTATCAAAGCAAGGGTTATACTGCAGAAGGAAGAGTATATTTAGGGAGAAAAGAGTGTATATGCAACCGTGCAAAGATGCTGACAAGATTTCATACATCATATTGTTCCAAATAATTTGCAGACATCCAATGGGGCAACCATTTCATACTTCATATTCTTCAAAACATTACACCAGTCACAAAGCAATTAATTTTAACATTATGCAAGTATACAGTCAAATGAAAAAAAAAAAGTCAGAACTAATTAAAAAAGCAATCACACCATACGAGCAAATCATTAAAGGAACAAATCTCACTCTAAAGGAGAATTAGGGTAGGAAAAAAATTAAGAGATCTACAGACCAATTTTGAGTAAAAGAACATTAACTGTGTCCACCAGTGATAAGAATAGTCAATAGCCCTCTTTTGCTTCAACAAGTTTTGGGATGGGATATCAAAGAGAAGCACAAAACCTACAAACAAAAGCATAACAGAATTTCCATGCTCAGACCAAAAACAATTCCCATTCCCTAAAATTATCAACAAACCATTCACATACCTGTTAGTAACAACTTTCCAACTAACCTAGCATGATATCTTATTGGAGAGAAGTCAGGAAATAAAGATTCATCTGGCTCTGTGATAAAAAAAGGCCATTATGCAATGTTGGTCCCAGCTATCTGGGGTCTTGGGAGGGGTGGGGTGCATACGTCCTAATTAGTTGGCTCCATTCCAATTAAATAAAAAATGTGGATTTTCCCGCTTTCTTAAGAAATTGGGAATGTAGGTGTTATATTAAGTTTTTGTCATTCAATAAATTTCTGTTTATGTTAGCATGTTACCAATCAAAGTAAAATTAGATCTATAATACCCAGATGCCTGTACAATGGTGCCTTGTCGTGACAGATACTTCAATTTTTAGTGTAAATTTTGTATCGGATGCTGTATCCAGAAATGTCCTTGCCTCATCCAAGTAACATACAATAAGAGTAACCCTCTAAAAATTTCCCAAGCCAGTGTTTAAAACATGTAAAAGCCAACAATTAGACGATTCCAGAAAGACAAATATGATATATGTTATATGAAAACAATTACAGAAAGGCAGATATGATATATGTTATATGAACATTTAACATCGCAAACTTGACGAAAATTACAAAAGACAACATAGAGAATCCAATAAGCAAGCCAAGCTACTTAGTGTACCAACAAAGCCTTAGCACTAAAATATAAAAAACAGAAATATAACAACCAAGTCCATGAAGCCTAGATATCTAAAACATCGTTTACTTTTAACTGTGCTGAGACAGGAAAATCTGGAATCACTTTCTGCTTATAGTCGGCTACACTTGGGTTGCTCCTGAACATGTCTTGGATTTCTTAAGAAATGGCAGGGTAGGGGTTTGGGAGAAAAAGGGAAAGCCTATTGGTGCACACTGACTCATGCAGTGCTATGGCCTATAGGGAGTGTAGGAAGAAAGAAACAGAAGAATTTTTGAAAACAAGAAAAGAACCACTGAAGATCCCATTTCCTACATAACCTTTTTTATGCAATCTCTGCATGACAGGCTCTGAAATCTTTAAAGGGGTTACCCATTCAGACCTACAAAAGAATCTGGCACATTTTGCATTCCACTCCATGGAACCCAGCTGCTGTTCAGGCTTTCCTTGGGAGAGAGGAGGTGGGAATAAGATTAAACTTCCATGGAAGTTCTGTAGACAACCCAGAGGAAGCTGAGATTGGAGGTGTGATCAGGGAGGAAGATGGAAATATTCAGTGGGCTTACAGTGGCCCGTTATGGATTGGCGAGTTGCGGAATCCACAAATGCTGAGATTGTGGCTGCCTTAACAGGTCTCAGAATTGCCAAGAATCTGAGATTGTGACTCCTTGTAACTCTTTTGGCGAATCTTTGTCGCAGTTGTACATCTCCTCATGTACCCTATCCTTTGCTTTTAATAAAATTGTTGCTTTTCTTCAAAAAAAAATGAATAAATAAATTTAACCAAAACACACTGATTTATCGCATTTCTCATTCCGTAAATAATCCAAAAAAAAAACAGAAAAAGGAAATACAAATTTCAAAGAACTACAAATTATCTTGTCGAAGTCGAACGATCAGAAAGTAAAAGGGGAAATGAACAAAACCCATCAAATATAACATAAATTAACAAAACCTAGAAACAAAAACAATGAGAAGAACTACCTATCAAGCATAAATCAAAGAAATTTATAGAACAACAAATCCACGTGGGTACCCAAGAATCAAAACATATCAAACAACAAAAACCCATAGAGCAAAAACAAGAAAAAATCCGTCCAAAGCATCGATCTAGTCTTACCGTTCTTCCATCGATGGTGTGCTTATCCTGAAGAACCCTATCGAGAATGGAAGGATCTGCGAACACAACAAACCCAAAACCTCTAGGCCTCCCTGTGACCTTATCACGCATGATGACGGTCTGCACAACCTCTCCATACTTGCTAAAATACTCCTTCAGCTTATCTTCTGATGTATCCCATGATATCCCGCCAATAAACAGCTTCCCTTGATCCGAGTCCATCACTCACTATCTACGATTCTCTTATACTCTCTCTCTTCTTGATCTTCTCTATTTTCTCTTCAGAGAAGGTCCGGAGAGGGCAAGGGTTTGTGCCAAAGACGGCGTCTCTGGCTTTGAGATAAAATATCTAAACAGAAAACATTGCAAATAGAGAGCTTAATAGGTAGGTTGTAATTTTAACAGATGAGATGGTCAAGATTTCTTTTAGGTGGTAAGTGAAATCGACGCCCCTGATTTAATCTAGGGTTTCATTGTACTTGTATTTATGTCTATACCCATGGAATTAAACTTATATTTCAGAAAAAAAAAAAAAAATCCCTCAACAATGTTTATTAAGAATTTACCACCACCGTCATGGAAATCAATAAACAAAATGTTCAAACAACATACTTTCAGAAGTAGTATGTGTGTTCGAGTTTTTTTAAGTGATGATGATAATATATAATGTTTCTAAAAGTTTTTATAATTTTTTATACTTTTATATATACAAATTATTATTATCTGTCATATTTATTATAATTCATTGATATATATAGATATGCCTAAATATTTCTTATATGATTTATATATTTTTGTATATTTTTATGTTTTTATGTTTTTATGTTTTTAAGATTTTATTATTTAATTCTAACTTGAAAAATTGACACATTTAACTCAGAATGTTGAATTGATCTACCACCAAACATTAAAACAATTTCACTTTTGAGTTAGTTTTAAATTTTGTATTTTATTTATATCATCAATAAAAAGTTAAAAATGATTTTTACTTATTGTATCTAATTTTTAATATAATTAATATAAAATATTAGAGATTGTACAAATGTTTTCTATGGATTTCTATCTTTTTCATGATTCTTTATATTTTTATCTTTTTATTTTTATTATTTAATTATAAAATTAATAATTGATACATATGATCCGAAAGCAATTTCATTTTTGGATTGGTTTTAAATTTTATATTTAATTTCCAACATCAATAAAGTAATTATTGTTTATCACACTTATTTTTTTAATATGATTAATATAAAATATTAGATAGGTGCCAAATGTTATTTACAAAATTTGTATTAATATAATGTTTTTGTGTTTTTATATTTTTTTCATTTTTTTATTTAATTATGATATCAAGAGTTTACACATTTGACTTAAAATGTTGAATTGTTGACCCGCCACCGCAAAAATAAGTATACCCCTATTGTTTGATTATTGTCTAACAGTAGGGGTAGCGTTAGGCAATAGTCAAACAATAAAGGTATACTTAGTCAATTAGCTAAACCCTAAGGGTAGTTTAAGAAATTTACCATATATATATATATAAGTATTTATTTAATTATGACATCATGGATTAGCCCACTTGACCCAAATGGTTGAATTGCTTATTCACCACCATGATAGAAAAATAGTTCCATTTTTTGGTAAATTTTAAAAACATGTATTTATATCATTAAAAATATGGGTGCTCACGGTTTAGTTAATCGAACCGTGGGCCTTTTTTTTTTGTAACCGAATCGTTACTATCGATTTTTGGAAAACAAGTAAACGAAATCGAACCGAAGCCAATTAGTTAACTGGTTGACCGGTTCGATTAACCATCAACTCAGTTCATCGATTTTTTGGTTTTTTATTTTTTACAATGTATATTATAAAAATATATAATAAAATATTATATATATAATATTATATTTTAAATAATAAATATTATATCATATATTATAAATATATATTTATATATAACGCATACTTATTAATTTATAATATATAATATATAATATATAATATACATAAATATATATAAAATATATAGAAATATATGTATACCGGTCGGTTTGGTTAACAGCTAGTTTTCTATATTGGTTAACTGAAACCGAACCGGTACCTTTGGTTTTTTAAAAACACCGAACCGACTGATTCAGTTAACCAATTTTTTGGTTCAATTTCGATCGATTCAGTTTTTTGTTTTTTTTTTTTTTGGCTCTCCCCTAATTAAAAGTATTGGATGTAGATCTATTTGATGGAATTTATTTGTTTTTATTTTGTGAAAATATTATCTTAAATATAGAGTTCAATAAAAGAATAAGAGTTAATACCCTAACATAAGACTTGATGAGAGGGAATTGAATGAAGAGAAATGTAGTAATTCAAATTACATTTGGGCCTTCACAATTAGAGAGGGACCAAATACAAAAATAGAGATATTGTAGTTAAGAAAATGATTCAATGAATGTTAATTGGAGCTAATATTTTAAATATGAGACTTAGAGAAAAGTATATTTCAAAAAGTTGGGATAATTTAATCAAACAAAAATTTCACACCATTATTCATACTTTTAATAATAGTGTAGGTATATATTTCAATTTATACCATGAGTCTATCTATAAATTCATTGTCTCAATTTAATTTCATGAACTACCTTTGGGAATTACAATATTAAATTTTTCTAAAAAAATATTTTACCTTTTTAAACTTTAATATTAAAATCGTTAAATGGGACTTGACAAAATATGTTTCATGTAGGATCATTCTGTTGAAATATATTGATATTAGGGATTTATAATAAATCAATATTTGTATTGAGAAAAACAAAATCTCTATATCTTGATGCATAGTCTTAATAAAATGTGCATAGTCTCTTTCAACTCTCACTCTGTCTCTCCCTGCCGTTGTTCCCTCCGATGTTGCCGTCGTAATGAAACCCTGTTGTTTTGCCCTCCGACGCTGTTGTCCGAAGGAGACCCTACCGTTTTCCCCTCCAGCGAAGGAAAACGAAGGAGATCCTGCCGTCTTACCCTCCAACGCTGCTGTCCGAAGGAGGGAGACCTTGGCATTGCCATTTTCTCCTATGGATTTCTGCTCCTCCAATGTTCTTTTCTCTAGCCCAATCTTCGTATCCCTCTTTTGCCGCTCCCTCTTCTTTTCCAAAACGCGAGGGCCAGAAAAAACTTTAGGTAAAAAACACTATCCCAAAACCTTATTCAAGTCATAGGAAGGTTTCGTTTCCTTTTTATCTCAGTCACCACCCCACGACGATGGAGGTTTTTGTAAACTTTTTAAGTGTTGTGGCATTCGTTGGATTACCATCTTCCGTTGCACTATGATGGAGGCAAGTGAACGTTGTTGTCTCCTCGTTAGATTTCCGGCGACATTATTTTGGTTTTTCAGTTAGCTACATAGGGAGGCAAATATCGCTTTATATTTATCTATATTTGAGTAATTGTTCTTTACTGTTTTTTGAAATTATTTAATTTTAATTGTAAGTAGTATTGCTTACCATGGTTTTAACTATGCCTTGTGATCTTGGTATTTCATGGTAGGTCGATATTTGATTTTGAGATAAAACTTTAGAGTAGGTTGAACTAAAATGTGCAATAGGTTTCTTATTGCATAGGTTTAACTGTTAATTTCTTTCTTATATGCCAATATGCCAATATGGAATATCAAGATTTAACAATTGTATTTGATATGAGTTACAGGTAGTATTAATGAAAACCATAGTATATATTTTGGTGGTGGAGCATGTAATTGTTGTGTTTTGAGTTTTACTATTATTAGGGGATTGTTGTTTTCAAGGATTAAAGTATTAGTATCAAATACCGCATGCACTGGACAACTTGAATACGCTTGGGAAACACATAGGTACAAACGAAAAAATATGTAAATGTTTGGATATGCTAAGAAAATGCACACAAATTCCATAAATATATTAATAGCATTGAGTTTAATGTCAAAACAACTATAAATAATATATAAAATACATATGAATTATATATTTAAATGATATATATACATATGAAGAAATATATTGTAATTAACTTAATAGGACATGTAGATATTATAAAATTTTATAAATAATGCATCAATCAAGAGTCCAAGGAAAATATTATATAGATTTTTATAAATTAATATATGCAAAAAGCCAATATCATTTTATTATCTATTAAAGTGTAAGGCGTAAAGCATACGCAACTATTATATTTGAATTATTATATTATTTTTTCTATTTTTTCATTTTTATTTTTTAACATTAACAAAAAATTCAACTAAAAAATCATTCTTAAGTGTTTTATAAATAATATTTAAAATATTGTAAACAATAAATATGTTATTATAATAATTAAATTAAAATATTAATTAATAATTTATAAAAATATATAATTTTAACTTAAAATATATCAAATCTATTAAAATTTTGAAAATGCATATCATATGAAAATTCATAGATTTTAATTACTAAAACAATTATTCTATTATTAATATTTTATTTTTATAAAATTTCAAAGTTAAAATTATTTTTAATATAAAATGTAGATTAATGGATTTGATAGATTCAATTTATATTATATTTTCAAATACTTTGTAAACAATACTTTAATTTTTGTAAATAATAAATACATTGTTATTTAATGCAAATTAAAATATTAATTAATAATTTAAAAAAAATTAAGATATATACCATAGGCAAGTTTATAAAATTTAAGTATTAAAATAATTATTCTATTATGAATATTTTATTTGTATAATTTTTTTTTTAAAATTAAAACTCATTTTTGATATATAAATATATGTGGATTTTGTAAATTATTTATTCCCTTTATTTATAAAATGCTAATTTTGAATATTGTTCTTTTTAATTTATAATTGAAGTTTTTGAAAATAAATATATGTTGTTTTTTGTTTGCATGTAAACATTAAGTTTAATAAAATATATTTTATTACACTTAGTAACATGAATTGACAAATGGCTTTGTGGTTAATGCGCGTGTGAACATTAAGCATGCACTGATTGGTGTGGGTCCGGTCTTGTCACCTTCATTTTTTATTGTGAGACGCTGTGCCGAAACAATGGTCGACTATGCAATACGCGCCAATACGGTGGCGTATTGAACTGATACACACGACTAACAGGGATACACTACAGTTGTATTTGTATATTTTAATCCTTGGTTGGCACTATTTTTATGAGGTCATTCATGTTAGGCTTATAACTAAGTTGCATGTGTGTGTGCACTCACATGCATATTTACATGGCTCAGACCAAAATCTGTAGATTTTATGAAAATCCTACTGGCATCTTTATTTACATTGGTTATGCATCACAAGGTAGGAGTTTCTTGATTCTTGGTAGTTGATATAAAATTCAGTTTATATTGC